TTCATTGCCCATTTTACGACTTTGATAACTCGACTTTAATGACTCGCTGACACTGTAAATACAGTCCCTGCGCAGAAAAACAAGTTTGGTCCACAAATTCACTGTGTAGAATATGTATTTATGTATATGCACTAATTCCCATTACGTCAAATTGATGTCCAATAAATGAGTTTGCATAACTCGCATAAATTGCAACTGGCTGCAGAGCAAGCCCCACAGCTGGAGGACAACCACAATCGCCAGCAGCTGAGCCACAAGTCGGTTCGCATGTTTTCAATGGACGCATTGCAACATTAAAACTCATGCAAAGATTTATGACAATTTACACAAAATAACTAAAACCACACAAATGTGAGCGTATTTATATATAAATATATATAAATATAAATGCAGTTTATTCAGTTTACGAATTCATATGTAGCTACTGGCTTCATGCAGGCTTATCAAACGCCATCGAATCGGGCTATATCGATTGTCGATCTGTGTGCCAAGTTGGAATGCCGCCAAATCAAAGGCGCCAGACGGAAAGCAAACAATGCATGACAATTAATTAGGCTTTGGCACGGGTAACAGCAGCCAGTAGCCAGCAGCAAGCAGCAAGCAGCCAGCAGCCAGCAGCCAGTGACTAGTGGACAGAGCCGGTCCCAATCGATGCCAACTCATTTGGCTAATTGTCTTGCGATTCAACAAACCAGATAAGCGCCGAAATTCGCTCTGGCTGAGACTGTTGAACGGCTTGGACATGCGCTCAAAGCAACTGCCGCTAACAACGACAATTATCAAACGTGTATCGAGAGGTGGGCGGGCCAATCAGAGGCGCCTGCTCAGGTGACGGCGCTAAACGTTATGCATAAATATAACAAATCTCTATTATTAAGACTTTTGCAAGGGCAATTAAAAGACACTCGGGCGACAGCTGACAGACAGACCAGAAATTGACTATCTGAGAAATAAGCTGAATATTATAAACGGCATAAAATAATTGTTTATCGTTGTTTTGATATTTCATTTTGTTTTTGTTCTTGTTTTGCCTTATTGCTGACAGTACGTTGTACGCATAGGCCTTCAGATTCGTCTCCTGAGACAATGCCCATTGTTCGAGCCACAACAAAGGAGTGCAAAAGCTGCGTGGGCAGCCCCGCGGAGCAGGGGACATGGGGCAATGCCAAGTGCAGCAGCATAAACAGCCAAAAGTAGTCGTTCATGTGTAAATGTTCAGTTATTTACAATATGACCAAGATTCCGTTCACTACTAGCAGCTGCGCACGCATATGTATTCCATTACGATGCGCCCATATACAATGCCCCCAGACGGCACAAGGAATGGAATGGAGACGGAATACGCATACGCACTCGCTTTTTGCATGAAGGTCAAATCATGACGGAATCCCAACCCCCACTATAAGTGGCCTCACATTCCAGTACATATAGATTGGTCATATACTATTTTCATAACTACATGTGTTGCTCATACCCTTAGCCAAGTGTCGCTATATATATATATATACTATAATACTTTGTAGTTGTCATGTAAAATATATTTCTATTGTTGGGTTTTCTCTATATACTTCATATATATATATTTTTAAGACTCAATTAAAGAGAGTGTATAGTTTTTTGTTAGGTCGGGTACAACTCTTATCTAATCTGTTAGCTCTTATCTAAGTCGTTTAGTAACAGATCACCAACTCGAGCTCCCAAGTAATCGTGGGAAAGAGAAATTGTTATGAGCCCAATATGCAGATTATACTTGACCTATAGGCGTAGAGCCTAATCAAAGTTCCTATACGCCCTCTAACAAATAACTCACGCTTCGTCTTTTTGCATAATACCGAGACTAAAGCTCTACAATTATGCGCATAATATATTTATGTAAACAATGTCAGGGCGCTTTATTCCGTCTTCATGGTGGTGGTGGTGGTGGAGTGGTTCAGTGGTTGAGTGCTCATTTATCGAACCTGTTATTCTGCCATGCACTTGGGCTCATATTAAACTATATTTTACAGAGGCACTTTTAACGCTGAGCCGGCAGTTTATTGGCACCGCCTCGTGCTACTAGCTTGCGGATGGAGGAGCTAACATCGTGCATATTGATTGCATTAGCAGCAGAGGGACGAGGGGGGAGCACACACTCACAGAGTCTGTCTGTGGATTTGTGTACGCGCAATCAATTGGATTTGTAAGCGGGCGCTCGTCAAAGCCAAGCAACAAGTTGTCCAATTTGCTTAGCCACTGGTCGGCCACGCGCATGTTCCTCATTTAAATATTTCGCAAGTGCGACTCCCGGCCACAGTTCATTCAGAAGAGTGACCCAATTGAGAGCTTGTTCGGTTCTAGGCGCGCGCCATGTCTATTACAACATCTTGTTGTTGCCGTTGCTGTCGTCACTTTCGGCTGAGTCAGCGCCCCACCACGTCCCGTCGGCGAGCCGTGACAGCATTTAGCCAAGTGTCATCGAAGGCAAATCGCATGTAAAGCGACTGCAGCAGCAATTTGAATGTAAATTATAATTGTATATTTTCACTTTCAATGAACGCGAATTGCTCACTTCACAGAATCTCTGGCTGACTCACAATCACGCCTAGTTCCAAATGTTAATAAAACGAGCAGTGGCATCTCTCACTCTCTCTCACTCTTTATGGCTGCTTGATTAATATTTTTAATCATTATGAGCTTCAACGACGCTCAACTAACAGGAGAGCACGTAGCCCCAGTTGAGAACGCGTCGGATACTTGCTGTGAGTCGTAACACCCTTTGAATGGGCACACAGTTTGTTTCCGCTTCAATAGCTGGTCTGGCCCGAAGACGCCTCCTGGCACATCCAACTAATTTGGTCGTGGCTGTTGTCTTTGTTTCGACTCAGCATACAGATGTTCTATGTGTCTTACATCAAAGTACGTTTGTTTTACAAATGCTGCTGGCTGCCAGCGAATTAGGCGAAACATCAGCAGCAGCAGCAGCAACAACAACAGCCACAGCAGTGGCTGCCACAATGGCCCAAATTGTTATGCATGTCACACAGATACACAAATATGTGCAGGAGTCACAACTGCTGTACGGACATTTTTTGAAAAGTTGACCTGCTTCCCTATCCCTACTCCAGTCCGCTGTCAGCGAAAAAATCATTTTTAATTAAAATGAGTAAACTGAGGCCCGCATCGCAAAAATATAGCCGCGGGACAAGTTGTTTAACAGGTGTGCTACGAAAACTAGATTCGGCTAGTGTAAATTGCAAGGGAACAAAAAACCATTACATCGCTAAAAAATATAAACATAACACTATAATTTTGTAACCTTTTTTAGAATTAGGTTCAAGCCACAAAAATATACCACTGCAAAAGGTGTGTAGGTGCTATTAAAGCTGAAGTATGACCTTAGAAGAGTTCTACGATATTCGTACTCATTGTATGACAGATATATATTATACATATATATTCATCATTTGATCATCAAACACATCTATGTACATATATGAGTAATATATGCAGCGTAGACTGATTCGATTCCTAACTCATGAAGCTGGTGCTTTGCTGCTTTTCAAAATACCTTGCAGAAGCTCAGCATTTTCTATGCTGCTAATTTATCATATGAATATATATATATATATATATATATATATGTGTGTGTATGTGTGTGTGGCCACATGGCAAATAAATATGCATACATATTTTGCCCATCTTTAAATGCCTGCAAGGGTATTTCAGCTTCGGCAGCCAGTTGACTCTTAGTTTTTAATTACAAACAGTTAAACAAGATAATTTTGTACGCTGTGCATAGACTAATAATCGTTTTGGCCGTAAAGCGAGACAGCCATAAACCAATATATTTGTGTATATATATATATATATATATATATATATATATATATATATATATATATATATATATATATATATATATATATATATATATACATGTGAAGAATTATGCTAAATCGATGTCTATGAATGACACTTAAACTTCGTAGGCAACAATAATAAGTCGAGCTGTGTTTATTGAGTGTCTTTAGTAGCTGCTGCTGCTGTTGCTGCTGAAAGGTGCGACGGCTTGGCAAAAAGCTGATAGATAGAGTCAAGTCAAAAATACAACATGCGAAACTTTAACTGCAGATCGAAGAGAAACCGAAAACAGCAAGCAATTGGCACATTAAAACAACAACAGCAGAGAGATATTCATATGCAAACAAGAAAAATATAGTTGTGTATATAGTAAATCGTTTTAGATTTCGTAAAGTCACAGTTACGAGCATCCGTCGCACTCGCTTCCGATAGGCTAGTTCCCCTATACCCTCTACGTGCACAGGCCTGACAAGGGGTATATGCTGTGCCTGCAGTCAACACATTTCGCAGGAAATTAAAGAAATCAATTTAATAAAAATGTGATTGGCAGACTTGTCAAGCAAGCGGAGTCAGTGAATAATGAGCAGACACAATGATGGGGCAGTTACTCATTGAGGTGACTTGCGGTCTATACAGGGTATATTAGGGCTGTATCGTTTAGCAGCATTCATATGCAAATATGTACTTTTAAATAAGCCGCGCATATATGCATAATTTGTTTTCAACTCGTTGTCGCTCACAATATTTTGTTTGTCTTTGGCTCTCTGCTGATGCTGCCCTTCCCTATCTATCCACATACATACACACACACACACACACAGTCAGTTGCCATGAATGAACGAATGAATGGATTGATAGGAGCGTGCGAAATCAGCTAAAGATGCTGCAGCTGCTGCCATATTTATTTCTGCATGAGCAAAGAAAATAAAATCTGCGCACAGTATTTAGTAGGTAAATATCAATTATCGCAGACAAAGTCGAAGACAATTGAGGAATATAAATATGTGAATATATAAATGGATCGTAAACCGATTTGTGATCTGACTTCAAGTGCTTTTTTGATACTTGCGTAATACGTTTATGAGCTCAGTTATGTGACCAAAAATTCCTTACGTAGGTAATGTATAATGTATAGTCGACTGATCGATCTGTTGACTTACCTCAGCCTCGATATATGTACGTATATAGGTTTTTATGAACGTGTGGACAGCTCGTAGTCTCTGGCGCTGAGGCTAATGCTGCATAGTTTTGGGCAGCAGCAGCAACTTCCGATTTCCAAGAGCTAAATGCGGATGTCGCTGTCGTTAGCTTGACGTGGACAATGTCTGTGTGTTGACTTGAATTTGATTACTTTAAATACACATATATTTGCATTTAACAAATATTTGTTTTATTTCGCATTAAGAATTGGCTTTAGTTCACTTCACATGGCAGTCGATGCTGCGAATCGACAAAATGATTAAATGATAAAAAGCTTTGGCGGCCTTCATATATTTCACAAGCGAATGCGACACTTGACACACACACACACACAGACATGCTGGCACACTCGTGCACACATTGCGATCGTTGCAACAGTTCACGGAAATGGCATTGACAGTTGGTTCATTGAAGTAAAACATATAATTTATGCATTTTATTGCAGAACTAAAACAACAGATTTCCCCACTTGTCACAAGCGTTAGAAAAGATGCAACAATTGAAGAGGACAATATATTGGTACAAAGAGCAGCGCAACAATACACAAAGTAAAGTAGCGCAAACTAACGGACAACAACAATCCGCAACAGCCGGCAAGAAATAGCAGACATGAAAAAACAGTCACAGACACAGGCACACTTACACACACACACACACACACACGCACACACACAGACTGCAACTATTGAAATGAAAACGAAAATTAAAATATTATGCTTAATTTTGTATTTTTTCTCTTGTTTTCTTTTTTTTAGCTACGTTCGTATTAACAACGCGAATAACGGAACAAGACAAAGAAGAAACACCAAAAATATATTAAGGAACGCACGCGTAAAAGCCGTTGGCACAATGCTCGCGTTCAGTGTATGCCGCCTACGACGAAGCGACCAGCCGGCTGAACTTCACAACACAGACTGACTGAGGCAGGCGAGCGCCAGCGTCGACCAGGCCCAACAAGCAGCGACGCTGACGCCGACGCGGACGCCAACGTCGGCGTTCGAAGTTGGATACTCGACGTTTTCTCAGTTGAGTTTTTTGAATACAACATAAATATATGCAAATATTTGAAATAATTGTATTGATATGAATAGGTATGTGTGCGCGTGATTAAGAGAAATAGTTGGGCAGAGCTCGAAGAGGCCTGACAACTCCTAACCATTTACTCCGTTAGAGATAATGTCGCTGACTTGAAATGAGATCCAATTTGTACTTTGGGGAAGGTGCTTCAACTACTTAACAACTTGTGCACAGTTGGGTCGATCCCACAGGTGCCTCGCATGTTGTTTTAAATATTTATACAAAACTGGCTACCAATAAAGCTGAGCATAATTTTTGAGGCACAACAACTACATTTTACTATCTGATTATATATACATAGATGTATGTGTGCGTGTGTGTGTGCACATATAGACCATAACCGGCGCACCTGTGCTTCATTTCAAATTCTATAAATAATTTGAAAAGCAGTTGATACAAATTGCAAAAACAAAGCAGCAGCCAGTAGGGGGCGGACCTAAGGGTAGGCCCTTGCATAGACACTGGCGTTAAAAGGCAAAAATGCCGGAAAATAGAAAACACATTCATACAAGTTGTTGACGCCAGCCGGCAGAATAAGCGAAAAGAGAGCAAGAGATAGAGTAACAGCGGAAGAGAGAGAGAGAGAGAGATAATGTTTGAATAAGCGTAAGCCGGCAAATGACTAGCGTCGTCGTCGACGTCGGCGTTGACGCCAGCAGCAACGACTGCATCACACGTGCCGTATGCGTAACTTTGCCGGCCACTGTAAGCGCGTAAGTTTATGTGCATGTGTGCGTGCATATGCGTGTATGCTTGGGAATGTTGCATGCGTTATCAACACGACATTACGTATACGTACAGCAGGCAAACTTTATTTTTAAGAGCGCCTCTTTTATCGTGAACCCGCGTTATTATACCCTGCAACCAAGCGAAGTGTATAACAAGGGCATATTGACAAGGGCACATAGACATAAGTAATATACATTTCAGAAACTACGGAGTATCTATTAATCTGATAAGCAGCCAAAGCTTAAACCATATAAAGATAAATGTGGAAACTAACAGCAGCAGTGTTGCTGCACGGCATCTGCAAGTCGAGCAGCTGTATAGAATAGGTTCGCCTGTTGTTCACTTGCTTGTTGCAGTGGCTGCTGCGCCCGTTGTCATATTTGAGCCGGTGTCTGTGTCGGCCAATGGTTTGTTTGCCGGCTGCCAATCGTTTAAACAAGCATGTGCGTCCACACTGAACAAGTTGCGGGGAGTTCCACTCTGGCTTCCTCTCTCCATCCCACCTCTCTCTCTCTCTCTCTTTCTCTCTCTGTTAGGGCTGCCGCTTGCCGCATGGGTATTCATGTGTTTGTCTGGTTGCTGTGTTATTGCAGCTCCTGTTGGCTGCGCCCTGTTGTCCGCCGTCTGATTGCACTCTCGACTGGTTGTTGTTATCGCGAATGTCGTCGGGCTTAAACGGTTTTCAGTGCCAGCCATGTAATCTGTTTAATAGTCACTCGGATTGGCCTCGCATTGGTTATTCTGCATTTTTTCACACGCGCTGCTTAATTATGTATGCGCACTTGTCTCCTCGTGAATTGACCACAAATTTTGGCCTTTATCTGCAGAGTACAGAAAGCGCACCTGTTGCTTGACTGGAATTGCATAGAGATAAAAAGACAAAGCTAATAAAATGAGATCAAACAAACGCCATATGAATACCATAAGCAACTCAGCTTAGGCCGTGGCCTGAGCTCGAACCTAAGCACAAAAGCCAAAAGTGAAACACAGCCGTCGCCAATGTAAGCTAAAACTTGTTTCATCGGCCCGCTCCGCCCCTCTTGGCGCTAAATTCAAACATTTTCTGCCTGATTTGCATAAAGACGAGTTGAGCAAACAATAACAAATAGAAATATTGCAATGCTGTCCGCGCTTTTGCCCATTCAATTAGCAGCTAAGCCTCGGCTGCGATTTAAGCCAAGCACAATTGCGATTGTGTTAATAGCTCAATTTAAAGAAATAAACAATTCCATGATGCAGTGTATCAATATTTGCTTGCGTATTGTTTTTTACGCTTTCATCTTCATTAGGCATCGAAATTAAACCTGATCCATAATCAAATGCAAACCGATTTTTAATGATCTAGTTTAATTTTGTGGTCCAAGCTGCTTGTTAAGTAGTCAAATAAAATTTAAATAATATTCATGAAAAACGCTTAACAAAAGCCAAATTTGAGTTTTAAATACTTAAATGCTAAATATTAGAATTTTATCTTAAATCTTCCACGCTTAATCGGCTAACGTTCTCCAACAGTGTGGCAGCACTTGTGATTGTACGTTAGCGCCATCTTGCGATTCGTATGGAAATACTGAGAACACTTTATGACAATCAAAATAAGAATTCCCCATTTAGTTAATTTTTAAACCAGGCGAATTCATAAAAGACCTCTGTTGGCATGACTATTCGTTACACAACGGCACCTAGTGAGATTTTTAATATTACTATTCTCAGTATTTTTAATGAGAATTACACTAGATGGCAAGATTACTGAGCGACTTTGCAGGACGCCATCTATGTAACTTTTTATAACATAAATTTTTGCACAACTTAGATATGTCTTAATGTCAATGTTAGGATTGATTCCGTTTAGTTTTAATGCTTAATTTTCGTTTATACCAAAATGTTCATTTTTATTAACAATTTCTATACAAAAGTCTTATATGTACGAAATGCATTATTTCGCCTAACTAAAATAACAAATTGTGTTATAAAAACTGAAGGGTGAAATGTGGAAAAAACGTTTGGGCTATTGTGTTTCAACGAAAAACAGTTAAATACAAATTGAGCTTATAACAAATCGGGTGTATAAGCAGCCGATGTATATATGAGTACATGAAAATCAACTATCTGGCGCCCACAGCTTGAAGGTGCGATCGAATGAGGTCGTCGCTATATACTGCGAATTGGGGGAGACATCAACGGCAATCACCTTATTGTCGTGTCCTTGCAATGTCTTCAGCGGCTGCCACGTCTTGTTTGACCAGATCTTTGTGGTCGAATCGTACGAGCAGGTGACCAGGAAACTGCCGCCATCCTGTTGGTACTTCACATCCGAAATGAGATTTGTGTGCGCTGGTATGGTGTAAACTGGCTGACGACGACGCAAGTCCCAGATTTTGCATGTGTTGTCCTGCGAGCCGGTCGCTATATGAAAGCCATTGGGCGAAAAGTCTGCGCCGAATATAGCCCCCAAGTGGCCCTCAAGGAACATGATGCAACGGCCCGTGCGCAGGTCCCACACACGGCCGAATGCATCCAAGCCGCCGGTCACCAGAACACTGCCATCCGACTGGTAGCTGAGACAGTGCACTGGCTTAGCGTGTCCCTCCTGATGCAGGACCTCAGTCTTTTGCTCCAGATCCCACAAACGCCAAGAGGAATCGTAACAGGCGGTGGCGAGAAAGCGGCCCGATGGATGGAATGCTACCTTGGACACACGATGTGGCATATGGCCCGTTATATCAGCAATGGATTCCTCATTGCCAAAGCCCCACAATTTGACAGCGCCGTCGTGGCCACCGGAAGCCATAGCGACAACATTTTCTTCATCCAGTTTAACTCCTGGCCGCAGCGCTACTCCCCCTACATAACTGGCATGCCCACGCAGAGTTTGCTTCAGCTCGCAGTTGGGCACGCTCCAGAGCTTACATAGACCCGACCACGAAGCAGTCATCAGCAGCGAGGAGTCTTCATTGAAGGCAGCACTGCTGACGGGACGCGTGTCTCCTACCTGTGAGCAGAGCGGCGCCAGTGACTGTAGCTTCTTTTGCATCTCCACCATACGACCGGCTCGCGTCGCGCTGGGAACCTCTAACGCCTCTTTTGCGCGCTCTAGACGATCGCGAGCACGTGGCAGGGAGTAGTTGGCGAGCCAAAGACGTGCCACACGTAGTGTTTCGGGTCCCTCGTGATACCATGTGGCTTCCTGCTCCCGTTGCTGCAGCTTTCGCTCCTCCTCCTCGGTTTGTTTCTGCTTGATGGCGTTTTCACCCAGGCTAGCGAGCAGCTCCTTTAGTCGTCGGCGTCGTTCCGCTGGACCCTCGCCGAAATAGCAAATTGGTTCGTTTAATTGCCGCAAATTGTTCTTTATTTCGGCATCATCTGTGGAGACGTTAATCTGTCGTGCCCGCTTTTTGCGCTCGAACTCCTCCAGCAGTGCCACTTTGTCGCGCTCCATCTCGGTCTCCAAATCAAAGTAGTCATCGTCAATTTTGTTGGCCAGTGACGCAGCTGTGGGCGGTGGCATACCGACCTTTGTGGCATTAGACTTTTTGTTAGTCTCTTCATAGTCCTCGTCAGAATCAATGTCTTCCAGCTGTGCAGCAGTTGTTGTTGCTGCCGGCGTTGTGCCGGTAACAGAAGACGCCGCGCCGGTTTGCCGCTTGCGTTCTGTTTCTTCCAGCGAGCCATAGTGCAGAGTACGCTGTCGCTTTATGTACTGGATATCGTCGTCATCTGACATTATCTTTTAATCCAAAATAATTAATTTTTAAAATAAAAATTACGCCAACGAAATAAACAACAAAAAGCCACTGCAAACGTTTATCGCATCGATATATCGAAATAGCAAATGAAACTTTGACAGGGATGATATACAACTAACGATAGATATCGTGATGCAGTCGTGAGCCGCTTTTATTCTGTTAAATGTATGTTAATACACATATCTAGTAACCTAGCAACATTTAAATAACTTAATATATACTCAAAAATTAATTATTATTGGCTTATGTCATGTAATGATTATAATTATAAAAATTATACAATTCATAATAAATAATGCTTAGAAAATATCTCATATTTTCAATATAGAACTTGAATAACAGTTGCCATAGTGTTATTTCATACCATGTTAGTAACATGACATAAGCAGTGACAAGGTGGCAGAAAATTATGAACTAAGTTCAGCAGTGACTTATTTTGTAGTTCAGTATTGTGAATCGTTCAATCGAACTTTTCTGAACTTCTCCGCACAACTCTACTTATTATTTTTCACTAGCAGAAGTAAAGTTGAGAAAAGGCAATTGAGAATATTAAAATCGGCCTGCACAATGAGCGCGCCGAGCAATAAAATGTCGGCAACAGATCAGATGCGTGCAATGCTGGATCAACTAATGGGCACCACACGAAACGGAGACGATGGACGCGGCCTCAAATTCTCAGATGCACGCGTCTGCAAGTCATTTCTGTTAGATTGCTGCCCGCACGATATTCTGGCATCCACGCGCATGGATCTCGGTGAGTGTCCCAAAGTGCATGATCTGGCTTTTCGTGCAGATTATGAAAGCGCGTCCAAGTCGCGTGACTATTACTACGATATCGAGGCCATGGAGCATTTGCAAGCGTTCATAGCGGACTGTGATCGACGCACAGACTCAGCCAAGCAACGGTTGAAGGAAACGCAGGAGGAGCTGACGGCAGAAGTTGCCGAGAAAGCCAATGCAGTACACAGCCTGGCGGAAGAGATTGGAAAAAAGCTGGCCAAGGCCGAGGCACTTGGAGAAGCTGGCGAAGTAGAAGACAGCATGGAACTCATGAAGGAAATTGACGAGCTGCGCGGCAAAAAGATCAAAGCCGAGCATGAATACAGAACCTCAATGCCAGCGTCCACCTACCAGCAGCAGAAGCTACGCGTTTGCGAGGTATGCTCCGCTTACCTGGGCATACATGACAATGACATCCGTCTGGCGGACCACTTTGGTGGTAAGTTGCATCTGGGCTTTCTCACTATACGCGAAAAACTTATCGAGCTGGAGAAGACGGCTGCACCGCGGAAGGCGGAATTAAAGCGCTCGGGTAAGATACCAGATCGAGAAGAGGATGGCCGAGGCAGAAATCGGTACTTTGTAGGTGGCCGCGAACTAGACCGTCGCTCGCGGGTTCATCGCTCTCGTTCCAGAGAGCGCCAGCGGCAACGTGATGCAGAAAAACAAGGCAATGACAGATCCAACGATAGAAGCGACGAGAGAGCAAGTGCCCGAGAGGTTGATAGTGAGCGATCTGCGCCCCGCGGACGCGATATTGACAGCCGCGGCTCTGGACGTGGAGGAGCAAGTGGTGGCGCCGACAACAACGTTCGCGATCATCGCGATAGAGATCAGCGTGATCGAAGGGACAGAGATCGCAACATGCGCAATGACAGAGGACGGTATGGAGGAGGTGGCGGTGGTAGTGGCGGTGGCGGAGGCGGAGGAAGCGGCGGCAGTGGTGGTGGCGGCGGTGGCGATCGTCGCAATGAAAGGCGTCGATCACGTTCGAGAGAACGTTCGCCACGAGATCGCCGCAACTACAACAATAACAATAACTTTGGAAACAGGCGCCGCTCCTTCTCCCGCGAACGCTATCGCCGCTAAATATATCGAAGTTAACATCAAGATCCAGTGGACTCCAGTTCCACACGGCAGTGTCCAGCGCACGTACGTAGCATAAATAACAACCACAACAGAAAAAAAAAAAAACAAACAATAGAGCAGGAGAAACGAACTAATTGCATTATTATTTAATTAATAAATGACTTAAATACACACTTAGACAGCAAGTCAGATATTTTTGTAAAATATTATTAATCCTTATCTTTGACTCTCATCAGTGTTAACTAACAGAAAAGCGAAACAAAATGTGTAAGCTGCAACTATATAAATTGTTAAGTAAATAACTCTATAATTTAATAGTTTGACAGCCCGACCAGAGTTGAGTTGTAATGTACGGTACGTAGAGCCAAAGTCCCGAGTAACCACACTAAAATGTACAATTCTATATATATATATATGTGCCCAGCAACGAATCCCAAACAAAAAAAAAAATACAACATAAAAACCAAAACTGAGCTATATCATAATTTCTCTCAGCACAGTCCCGGACTGTGGGGCGTGCCCGCTCCCGAGTGGTGTGTGTGTGTACGTACGAGTATTGTCGCCCCTTTTAGGGTAAGCCTCACTCTCTATAAAAAAAAAACTATAAATTGTAACCTTTTAGCGTTTTTCTACTTGAAGTAACCTTGCAGCTCAAAAGCCGTAAAGCTGGGTACGTATCGAGTGCATATTGACAAAACAAAACGTCTATTCTAGCCTTTTTGATAAAGCTAGGGATCTCGCTAATTGCAGATTTGAGTATGTGATAGACATATACCAGATATACATATGGTTCGGTTCGTTGCTTTGGGTACGTATTCGTCGTCTATCTATTCTTTGGGAGTGTTTGTTGGTTTGGTATGTATATATGCGTATTGTTATGAAATCGTTAGAACATAAATTAGCAACAAATTTTTGGTACGTATGCCCAAGCAACAGCAGCAGATGTTAAAGGATTGTGTTGATTCCTTAGGGTTCGATGAGGACTTCTTAACGTACGTATTTTTTTCAAAATCAACAAATCAAAATCTTTGTATTGCAATCTCCCGTAGCGGTTCATACATACATATGTAGTTAAAAAACCACCAAAACGCATATTTAACTTAATCTCTTTCTCATACTAAAGTAGTTATGCCTAAATTACACAGAAAAATGATTGATGCGGGCTAACCCAACTACTGGCTTAGTAAGTGAGTATTCGGGCAACATCTTATGATTAAAACCACAAAAAAATTAATATGTAATAATAATAATCTACAAAAGTAATTGGGTGGCAATTCTATCGTTTCTTTTAAACAGCATTTATTGAGACGTTGATTTTTAGTATGGGATTGAAGATTAGGAATAAATAAAAAGAGACATCAGTTTTGTGGGACACTTTTACATGTACGTGGGTAAGATTTATGCAAACTACCATTTACATTGAATTTGAACATTAGAACCATAAGATTAATTACAATACTGGGTATAACCAGTTGTAAAAAATTCACAAATGTAACTTATAATAAAGCCAAATAAAATTTGTTTTGGGTTCTATAAGACTACATTATATTTTTTGATTGGGGAAACAAGAATGGGAGTACAAATACTCAGGAATTTGCACTACAAATTCAAGAGTGTCAGTCGGAAATTAACAATAGAATAATTATATATTGATCATAAAGCCTCACCAACTGTACGCCGTTTTTATTTCAATTGCTACTTACGCGCCAAGCAAATTATATTGAGTCGGTGAAACAATGTTATACTCAAAATGGCACTGTTAGTAACGATTATAGCCGAATGGCAACGCCACGGCCATTCCGCCATCTTTTGCGCAGCTGCTGTTGTTTCGCCTCTGACGGAAATTCTTTGCACTAAAACTTTAGTTTACTATTAAAAACAAATAAACTAGGAGATTCAATTTGTGCGTTGGATTCCCTTATTTGGAAGCTTCATTTGTTCACGTAAGTAATAACAGGAAGACGAAGATCGTTAAATACCTTATATACTAACACTTGGGACTGCGAGAAATCAATAGCCGCTTGGGGTCGCTGAATGCTTTATGTCCGCTGTAGGTCGCTACCAGCTCTTACTTTTTTGGCGCTAAATTTATAAAAAGTGTTATTGCTTGCAGCCAAAATGTCAAAACGCACGCGCGACTCAGAATCAGAGGATTTGCAATCGTATCTAAGAAATTTTCACAAAGAAATTGAAGATGGCAGCATTGAAGACAAAGAAGTTAAGGCAGATGATGTTGCCATGGATGATGATGCTGAAGGGGAAGAACAGGAAGAAAACCAGGACGATGATGACGACGACAAATATTTTATAGACGACGAAGGCAACTGTTATATCAAAACTACACCAAGGAAACAAGAACAGCTCAAAAAGAAATTGAAGCAACAAACATCGAAAGCGCCAATCAGAGAGGAAATTTCAATACGCAGCACAACGCGTGCGGCCAGCAGCAAAACGTCTAAAGGTTTTTATTGCTTAAGCCATAATACAAGGGAGTGTTCATAACTTTTTTTACAGCCATTAATCTACGTCCTGCGAAACCGAAACCAGTTGCAGCTGCTCAAAGGACCCCCAAAGCAATCAATATACGACCTGCTCCACCAAAAAGATCACCAGTTAAGACGACAACCTCTACACCAGTCAGCACACCTAGAGCATATTTACGCTCTTCAACAAGATCTACAAAATCCGAACCAGAGTCGCAGCTGAAGACTAAATTAGTAATAGAGAAGTTGGTAGAGTTTGAAGAACTCGTAGATGATCCTAATGCCGGTGATATTACCACAGTTTCCATAAATGAATCAGAGCTTACTGTCGCTTCAAATGATGCCAATGCAACTAGCCTAACTGAAGATCAAAACGCTAGCAAAGACAATTCGGACACTGAGGTCTACGAGTTTGATGACGGCGCAGCTAATGTATCTGCCAGGTCGGATGTGGATTTCGTGCTCAGCGGCAATCAGTACAAGCTAAAGCCGGCGGCAACGAACTCGGCTGCATCGCAGAAGTTCGCCTGCTCCCACTGCAGCTATACGACCAATAAAAAATTCCTAATATCACGTCACGTTCGCTCCCATGACTCGGAATTGTCATTCAAGTGTTCTATCTGTGAGCGTGGCTTCAAGTCCAACATGGGGCTGGTCAATCACTTAAACACACACATGGGCAACAAGCCGCACAAGTGCAAGCTTTGCGAGAGCGCGTTCACTACTAACGGAGAGCTTATACGACATACACGCTACAAGCATACCAAGGAAAAGCCGCACAAATGCACGGAGTGCAGCTATGCCAGTGTAGAACTGACAAAACTGCGCCGCCACATGACCTGCCATACGGGCGAGCGTCCGTATCAGTGTCCTCACTGTACTTATGCCTCTCAGGATATGTTTAAGCTAAAGCGTCATCTGGTTATACACACGGGCGAGAAGAAGTATCAATGCGATATATGCAAGTCCCGCTTTACACAATCAAACTCGCTCAAGGCACACAAACTGATTCACAGCGTGGTGGACAAACCAGTGTTTCAGTGCACCTTGTGTCCCACCACATGCGGCCGCAAGGCTGACCTACGCACTCATATGGCCAACATGCACACCTCGGATAAGCCACTGATTTGCAAGCGTTGCGGCCAGGAGCTGCCTGATCGCTATCAGTATAAGCTGCACATCAAGTCACATGAGGGTGAGAAATGTTATCGTTGCAGTCTATGCAGCTATGCTTCAGTATCTCAACGACATTTGGACTCGCATATGCTTATCCACACCGACACAAAGCCCTTTAAATGCGACTTGTGCTCCCAAGCGTTCCGTCAGCGTCAACTGCTGCGACGTCATGTAAATCTGATGCACAATGAGGACTATAAGCCGCCGGAGCCACGTGAAAAGGTTCACTCTTGTCCCAGTTGTCTACGTGTCTTTACGCACAAGGGTAACCTGATGCGTCACATGGAAACACACGATGATTCGTTGAACGCTCGAGAAGAGAAGCTGAAGCTAAAACTTGGACGTAGCGTGCGTCTCCAGCCGGACGGCAGCATTGTAACTCTGGTCAATGGCACCGACATTGAGGCACTTGACAAGGGCGATGCTATTTCCATTGACATCGATGAGCAGTTTGAACTCACTGAATTGGAGGAGATTGATGAGGAAGAAGCGCCAAGCGAAGTCATTGAGGAAGCGTTTGCTGCACCCACCTTAAGAACACGAAAGAACAACAAAACTGTTCTTGTAAGAGAGCGCGAGCAGAGCTCGTCCAGTAAACCAATCATTATTAACCGGCAATTAAAGGCTCCGCGTGTGCACCGCGAACTAACTACTCAAGCCGGCACATTCCGTATTAAAGAAGAGCCCGATGCAAACGAATTTACGGTAGAACTACAAGGTGAAGATGAACAGTTTATGGTCGTCCAACTGGTTAACGATGATAGCGAAGTTGTAGTCAAGCGTGAGCCCAAGATCAATGCCAATAATTGTTTTGGCTTCGAGGTAAGGAAATCGCTTGATTTTTAGGTATATTAAACACATATTTCTTTTAAATGTCTTAGGATGATGCCAATGTTGAATACGAAGAATATGTGGAGCCTGTAGCTGAAGTGGATGCTACGTCGCAGCAGTTTCTACAGCTAATGGACATGATTGAGCAGGATACATAGGTCAGCAAAAAATTAAGTCATATTAGAAATGTATAGAAATAATAATAAATAATAAAAACAAACGTGGATTTACATAATTATATGCTGTGATTAATACTCGGTACCGCTTTCAATCTGCATATATTGCGACAATGTTGGCATAAATACAATATTTTTATTTAAATATTTCAAAGATACTTTCATGTATGACAATATATGTATGTAATATTCGCACATAGTTATAACGACGTGCATTTTGGCGTGCACAATAAATTCTCGGCTATTTGTTGCATCTTCATCATTTTACAATAAATCTTTTCAGCATTTTTAGTAGTTTTTTTCTCGTGCATGTATACAATAAAAATATATATTATATATGTTCATGTTTATGTATATATATATATATATATATAGTGCAAAAAGTTGTCTGCTGTGCAGTGCATGTTTTAACATTTTTTTCTCATTTAAATATGTTTCTCAAGTTTGTTTTTTTTTTTTTGTTGCTTTAAACGTTAACAATTTGTTAGTTAATACATAAGTATGCATTCAACTTGTATTCTGTTGTAAATGTATATTATTTGAACATTTCATTTAACAAATGTAAAATGGAACAACGTTAATAAAGGAAGTCCCGACCCTATTGCCGACACAAAGTAAATAATGATACATTTAGAAATTGTTAGAAAAAATTACTTGCATTATGAAGTACACCCATACAAAATACATTTAGAAATACAACAGTCAAAATGAAGGAACCTTATATAATTACATCCTAGTACCAACTAAATACTTAGTATTAAATTGAAAATAACATATAGGACCTAGTAAACATAAACAAATTCATGGGAAGCTGTGCTATGGCTTTTTTGCTAGCTCTTCATAAGCTTGGCTTATCAATTAACTTTTGGCTTAACATTTTTTGTAAGGCTGCTGCTGTATTGGTTCATTCAATCAATCAATCAATTAATCGTTTTTTAAGGTGTTATCAAATAAAATCAAATATTCGCCATTGAGCAGCTTTGGGAGGCAAAGTGAGTGAACAAGTACAATAAACCCTTAAAAGATTTTTAGTTTTCGAAGAAAACGCAACAAAGGAGCACTAAAGCAGGCTGCTTGGTGTTGTGGTTGCTGCTGTTGCTGCGGCTGTTGCGTTGCTTTTGGATTACCAGCAAAAGAGGAGGCGGCTGCGTCACGGACTTTGGCTCTGCCATTCGCAATTCACAACTGCTCCCTCTTCTGCCTCTTTGGCTGTTAATTGCAATTGAGCGTATTCTGGTTGGGGCTGCGTGTGACATTGTTGTGATTGATTTGATTCGACTGCGCGATACTAGCGCTCTCGCTGCTCTGCCAGGACAACAGCTTATTGAGCAGTCTATCCATAAAGGGATTACCGCCCAGACGCGCCAACTGTCAACCACAAATGAGAATATATTAGTCACATGATTGCAAAGGAATACAAGCATAATTTCATAACAACCTCGGCACGCGCCTCCGCATCGAGCGTTTCGAGCACTTTGCGTGTATATTGAAAGCTGCCGAGCTTTTCTAGCAGGCTAATGCAGTACTTCTTGACCTCAATGTCGTGCGTGCGTTGTCGCAAAATGTCTGGGAAGTAAAACAACAGTTGAATAAGCAATTATGAGTCGCAGCGAGGGGCGATCGAAAGACTTACGCAAAACCTGTTTGTCTTGCTTCTGCGTACGCACTGCATGTATGACTGGAAACCCAAATTTGCCCTCAGTCAAATCCTCAGCAAAACTCTTATTTTCCGTGTACTGCAAAGGCAAAAGTAGAATAATACATAGGCTTTCAATGATAAGACAATCCACTTGCCTCTTTCAAACTTAAATTGCAGTAATCGTCACGTATTTGAAAATATAGGCCCAGAATGGCTGTTAACTTTGTGAAATCCTCCTTGTTCTCACTAAACAGCTGCATCAGGCGTATGGCCAGCATGAACAGGCCCCCAGTCTTACGTACAGTCATCAGTTTGTAATCAGATTCGGAGGGACATGTAAAACTATCGCGCCAATAAATCTCCATGCCTTGGCCGCGATGCAGTTCCAATAGCTGTTCCGTGTACACCTTGGTTGCCTGTCACACAAAACGAACAAACAAAAACTTATTGATTATTGATAAGCTTTGATAAATGGGGCTGAAACCAGCCTACCTCTGGATGTCCCAGTTGCTGCACCTTTTCCAACGCCAGGAACAGAGCATAATTGGCCGCATTGATGGTGCTAGCCACGCCATAAATAGAATGCGCAACCGGCACACCTCTGCGAAGTATCGAATTGTCTTCAATATCATCAATGCTGTAAGTTAGCAGTCAGAACACAAGAACACATATATGTATATATAAAGCACTCTGTTAATTTCTACGGATGTTATGTGTGAGTTTACTTACTTTACAACATATAAATACGTAACTAATTAAGCTTATCACATAGCAAACAAGACTTGGGTCAAAGTTAGACTTGTTATCTATTTAGGGATCTACTATAATTGTGACTATGGGGCAACCCTCGCAATATGCTAGGCAACACACCAACTAAATGTACATAAATTTAAAACTTACTTTGAGGCCCATATCACTTCAATAACACGCCAGCAAGCAAGGCAAACTGGGCAGCCGACACATTTTGCGTAATTAAAAAATGTTTGAGCGCGTAGAGGAGGGGGCTGCAAACATTTGTGGGGAATTGGAGGCGTGGGCGTTGAAGCGACGCGCAAAGGCAGTCAACCCAAGTGAATGAAGGATGGAGAATGGATGGCAAGTGGGTGGGTGGGCATAGCAGTGAAGCGGAGTGAACATGTTGCATTGCAAGAGTTACAATATTGTGACAATGGCTGTCGACAAGCTGACTTAATGACAATGGCGATGACGATGACGATGCTGGCGCCTTTGAAGCTGTTCACTTTCCTCTGTGTGAATGCTGCCATAGTTGTAAAACCAAGTTTTTGTCGATATGAAAATGCATTTGAACACACAAAAAAACACGAGCCCAAACGCCTTCTGTATTTGTGTGTGTGTGTGTGTGTGTCTGTCGAAAGCCATTTATTAGTAAGTGCGCGCCGAGACGCTGCGATAACAGCTCTCAGCTGTCAGGCACTGTCGACAACTGGTGCCAGCGAACAATGCAGGATATTAAGCGGCATTAAGGACATTTCAGCACATTTGCATTTGAATAATGGGCCGCAAGAGTGGTTGGATGGGTGGTTGTATGGTGCGACAGGTGGCAACGAGACGGGATTAGCCTGCATGATTGAAGCGAAAAACAAGTCGGAAAGCACAACCAAACAATGGAAGCAGATAAGCGACTTATAGCTATACATATATATATACATATATATATTGTTATATATATACGTAAATACAATTTCATATATATCTATAAATGTATATGTATGTATATACAAGAAGCTGCTGAGCCAGCTTTCGTTTATAAGTTCTCTAGAAAAACAGCTAGTATTGCAATGCATCAATTGAAGCGTGCGACGTTTTGTCAGGCACTTTAATTGAAGAAGTTCAAAGATTAACTGTTGCGTATCTTTAATACTCTGTAGCACTCACATACATGCAAGAATGTAATGGTCTGCATTCAACTTGATATAACAATGAAAAATCTAAACATTTAATGCGATTCCATTTTGGGAGATGAGAAGGCACATTTTGCAAACAAATTCAATTGAATTTTATCATAAACAGAACGCTGCGGGCTTTTGTTCGAATTTTTCGATTGATTTCGAAGGCAAATAACCAAAATTTACGCACACGTACTCACTCACACACAAACAAGGTCGGGGGATGGCGCTTGGGCAGCAGTGTGTTCGTGTGTGTACGGGTACATATGTGGAGTGTGCAAGTGTGAGTCATTTGTCCAAGTTCTATACAAATACCCATTGCTAAGTGCCCGCACAATGATGATAATGCTAAATATATACAAAAAAGTCTGATATGAAATATGAATATGATATGAAATTCATATTTTTACCAGCTGTCAGATGAATTGTCCAGACAAGAAATAAGAAAAAAAAATAAAGCTGCAGGGGGCTAAACTTATATCTGCGTATTATCTGGAATTCCATAACACACAAGCTCCCGGAGAAAGGAATCAGTCATAGTAACTGATATTACATCCGATAAAAATAAAGAATTCTATAAAATTAAACTGCAGTTGCATTAATTTTAAATAATTCCAATCAGAATGAAATGTAGAAACTGGCCAACTGCAAGATAATGCAGTTCTGGGCCTTGAAATAACTGTTTCCTGCTGAAAATATTTTCTGTTTCAGCACATCATTCGATTGATATTTGTTTAACTAAATTTTGCTATTTTCCAAAGAAACTGAGTTTATAGAAACACTCCCTTGCACAGGAAACTATTTTCGTTGCTATCTACCACTGTGTATTTTTCTCAATTTTACGCGCTAATAAATTTTGAACTTAAATCGTAAACAGTGCAACAAACAGGCAGGCAACAACAAACAAACATATGTAAATAACAAATGTGTAAGTGTGAAATGAGATAAACATGAGGCGATATGGTTGATGGGGTGAAGGTAATGGTGCGAACGTGATGGTTGTACAGCTAACGTAAACAAAAGGTCGAAAAGGCAAAATGCCAAATCGAACTAAAATGGAATCAGGGAAAGGTCAAATGATTAGTAAAATAAATGCAATATTTTAACAAAGCTATGCATAAATTAAATTTGTAAATCTGTATTTATATGTTTATTATATATTTTTACATATGTAATATTTAATTTGTTTACTTACAGCAAACTTGAGTTATGGAGCATTTGCACAATCTCGCCAATCTGCGTCAACTTTTCGGGCGGTATAAGCAACCAGTGATTGAAGGCCAAGGCCAATTCGGAGCGAAACTGTTTGCCAGGTATTTGCTGTATATACGTAAAGGGCTGCAGCAGAATCTGTGTGCGTGGGCGATGTCAACAGCATGTAAATAAGTCACAAAATAAAAAAAATTCAATTTCAGTCAACACAGAAGGTTAGGGTTCGGGTTTCGCCAGCAAACAAGCGGCAGGATGCTTAAAAATGTCAAAGTTCACAAATGTCATCGCTGCCACTGGTTAACGGTTAACTGGTTTTGGGATTGGGTGGGTTGGTTGCATACCTCGTCCTGTTCCCTTTGAGTTGATTTATCTTTGGTTTTTTGCAATATTCCATTCAGCTCTTCCATTGTGTGGCGCCTGTTGTGTGTGTGTTTGCGTGTATTTTGTATTTGTTGTCCACAACAAAGGCTGACGACGAGAGCGCGTTGTTGAAGTATCGCCCAAGCTTTCAATACGCGTGACTAGAATTGTTTGTTTGGCCGCTCGACTTTAAAGCAGACAGACGCAGCGCACTGCACAACAGTTAAACCAACTATAAACAGAATGAGGAAGATTGTTGATGTCTTATCGATTAATCGATAACTACTGTTTGAAAGCTTACACACGATTGTTATCGATGGGATATTTTTATAGATACAGATATACTTTAATCGATTAGATCGACTTGGAAACCCAGCGATATTGCACGCAGTATATATTTAAGAAATATCGCATTAAAAACAATGTTTTAAGTTAATATTTCAAATTAATTCTTCGCATACCACATGTAGTAGCTAATTGCAAATAGGAATACCTCAATGAAAAAATTTCCTTTGAAAATATCGTTTTGCATCACTTAAGAAATGGCAGCTCAGCATTTCAGATAGCATCGATATCGATAAGCTTATGAATTAATCGGCAAGGTGCCTGCGTGGAAAATAAATAAACTTTTATTTTTAACTATTTGTTTATTTAAAAACGAATTAAAATAATGGCTGCGTCACAGCCAGTGCGCATGAATTGGCATCCAAATATGAAACACAATGAAATAGAAAGGTAACATACAAAAAACTAACAGCAGCCTCACCTATTTTACATGCAACGTCGTCTTTTAGGTGGATTTGCATTTACCCTGCGTACATAAACAGCAAGAAGACACGCCAGGAAGGCCGTCGACTGCCCAAAGAGAATTGTGTTGAAAATCCAACGTATGTGGAAATCCGCGATGTACTCTCGGTGTCCAACTTACAATTTGTTGTGGAGAACAAGCAATATTGTCGCGAAAAGAGCAGGGAGCTCCAGTTTCGAGGCCGAGTGCGCGTGCAACTACGGCATGCGGACGGTACTTTGTGCAACAATGAATTCTCCACCCGTGAGTCTATCATGAAGCATGTAGCCGGTAAAATACCGCAATTAAAAACGCGACAGAACAAAACAAACGACCCTCAGCCGCAAACACAATCGAGTGGGGCTGGAGCTGGTGGTGGAGGCGGTGGCAAGAAGGGCAAGGGCAAACGTCGATGAAGCGCTGTCGTCAAACATTTCTTTGTGAGAATTGTGAAATTTGTTTAGTTGGTTTTTTGTAATAAATTCTAAATATATTGTGGAATAGCAAAGCATCTCTTGTCTGGTATGAAGTTCAAGTGCAAGAATTTGGCCTTGGTCGAATGCAACAATATATAAGTATATATTTAGTACGCATGTCTAAGCTGACCCTAAAACTGAAGCAGTTAATAACGATTGCATATGTGCTCAATTAAAAATGTCTCAAGATCATACAGTGTCAGCGAAAATTCCGGCGAACACCAAAGCAAAACAAATCAAAATTCGACTGACAGTCACGAAGCGGTAGCAACGAAAAACTAAAATAGCGTCTACGATTTCACCCAGTCAGCGTATATAACATACAGCGCGTCTCAAATGCACAGCCAAAGCTCAATTGGAAAGACACAAAGGCAGTGCACACAAAATGATACGGGTTAAACACAATATCATCAGTCTCTACGCCAGCTCCATTTTGTTGGTTGGAGCGTTACTGGCCACTCAGATGTCCATTTCCGCTGGTGTACCAACCACTGCCTCGACTACTGCATCTACTGTACAAACAACAACATCCCGCTATGACAACCCGCTGGTTGAGCATAAGAACGAGAGAAACTGTAAGGCGCTCTGCGAGCATTGCGGCTGTCTTGGATTCTATTGCGGAGAAGAGTGCATTTGCGAGTGCAACAACGAGAACTCGGACACGGAATGCATCCATACTATGCAGGTGAATGCGCGCACCTTGAACACGCCATTTGAGATCCTAATACAAGGACCGAGTGACAATCGATTTGTGCGAAATGCCAAAGAGTTCGAGCAGAAGCGCGAACTGGTGGCCAGAAGTACTGGGGACACTAAAAGTGCACGCAATCGACGTTCCACAATTACTATCTACAAGCCATCAAGGTCAGGAGCTAAGAGGCCAGCTTTATCGTTAAACGCAGTGGAAACACCATCCACAAAAGAAGATAAATTGAATCTGGCACGGCACAAACGTTCCGTGGAACATTTGGAATGGTTTAACGATTTTGCCAGCTCACTGGTGCGCCCTTCGCCATTAGGCTCGATGGCTCAGAAGCAGCGCGACGCAAAAGAAGTTTCACTTAAACGCCAAGCCGCTGCAGCAGAACCACTGTCAATGGTGCATCGGGAACCATGGTTTATGGAACAAAAAGCTCCGCTTCTTAATCGTCCTGCGCCCCTTTACAAGCGACATCATCAAACCGGCGACAGTCAAAGCATTAGAAAATCGAAGAAAAATTTCTCAACCAATATCCGACCTGATTCTATTGAAGAGTCCGAAACGGAAGCTCCAAAACCTAAGGCAGAGATACGTCCATTTCGAGATGCTCTACAGGTAGTAGAACGTATTCCTCGTGTGCTACAGGACACGGTTAGCCATTTAGCCGCCGATGATAACAGTGGCGATGTCTTCAGTCTCAACATTATGAATGATGTGCTGCCCAAGAAAATTTCTCGAAAGGATCAAATGAAGGGTTACCGAAGATTCAGACACTATACTCGAGATAGAAATGTCGAGCCAAAGCCCACAGCCGCTACTAGAGCACCTGTTGTTGTACCCCCAGCACCCCTGGCACCATTAGCACCACTCGCACCACGTGGACTTCTCTTGCCCTGGCTGCGTCAGCGACGCATGAGGCGCTTCCGCGGAGAGCAATAGATGTTAATTTTGGGTAATCCTATTTATCTATGTTTTATATTTTTAAGACTTCCTAAATGGCTGTGTAAGTATGTTTCTTTTGGCCTTAGCTTAGAAGCTAGCAGTTGCTCTAGTAATTTTTCGCAGACGACTAATTCCAATTTCCGCTATCTTCGATTAGGGAATCCTGTAAATTTTATTTGCAAATAAATATTTTTTAACAATAACAAAATAACAACTTCAATTAGAGATATAATATAATACTGGAGGAACTTTCGCCACAAAATTTGAATGATCTGAGAACGAGCGATTGCATTCTGAGTTGCTTTCCACTGCTTGCTTTTAGGCATTGCGTTTAAACTTACAAGTCGGAATAGTATTGCATACTTTTTGGGATCACTTTTAATCAAAATAATGAATTGAAGTGTGTAAGAGTAATAAAGAGAGCGCCGAGTCAGTCGAACGTTGGCAACAAACGCCAACGGTTTTCAGTTGAGTAAATCAGTTGGACCGACCAGTGCGTCTTCAGCTGTTGCTCTGCGTTGACTATATTTTAACAACATCTTAACAGGGTTCCAACAGGTAGTTAACAAATTGGTAAAATGAAAATAAAACAAAGAAGAGTAAACATAATAAAACTATACGAAAGCCGTGCGACGGGTTACACGCGAAAGTAAAGAAGAGCGAAGTGCAAACACTTGCTATCAATGTATTTGTAATGTTACAAAGTGCAACAAAGTACACAAACCAACATGAAATAAAATAAAATAAAATAAAAAAGAGACAGCTATGTGGCTGCTCCCTTGGTCCCCACTTGTTTGGTGGTGTTCGCACCAACAGATGACAATAAGTGTCTGTGTGTTAATTCAACTGTATGTGTGTGCGTGTGCGTGTATGTATGCAGCAACAAAAATAAAAACAAAGAAGTAAATTCGTGCGTTATATACTATTTATACATAGGCATTGAAACAAGCTAAAGATATTATCAGAGCTATATATTTTTGTATATAAATATGTAAATGTTGCGCGTCTCCAGATATGTATGATAGAGCTCATTGAACCAAGAAAAGGAATTAGCTGGGATTCGAGAACTGTACTGTACTGTACTGCACTGCACTGCTAGATGGAGCACAGCTGTTACCCCCAACAAAGCTGATTGAAATTTTTTAGTCAATTAAAATGTGAAATCAATGAATGTGATTCACATCTCCCGCAACTGAGAACAGTCAAATTAATTATATATATATATATATATATATATATATATATATATATATATATATATATATATATATATATATATATATATATATATATATATATATATATATATATATATATTTATATTGAAACTATTTAAATATGCTTTAAATAAAGCACCTGTTGAATGGGCTCACTAGGAAATAATTAGATTCACAAAATGATCTTCGATACCCGAACCGAATTTACAACGCGCATTGCGTAAATAATGGAACTTTGTAGTTAAATGCTAAAACCTTAGTTTACAACAAATACATGCTAAAGTATCTTAACTGCCAGTGCGATAAATGATAACTAATACAGCGATAAGTGACTAAACCAAATAACAAACATCGTTAACTTGTACATGCATACACGCATACATACATACATGCAAACACACATATAAAGCCGGTTGTATTAACGAGTTGGCAACGATAAGCGCACTAATTTGTTAGATGATAAAAAAAATATGAAAACAGCTGAGAAATCGGTATTTGTTTATTTGTGAGTCTGTAAGTTAACGGTGATAAAGTTGAACTACGAGCGAAGCGGGACAGAAGGGAAACAGTTTAGCTATGGGTGTGCGGCTTGATACCCTGTTACTCTGTAACTGACTGATAAGAATGAGCAGTTATTTATTATTTATATTCAATATCTGTTCATACTTAACCATGGAAAACTTAATATATGGTAACTCGTTGCCTATGCAATGCCAGTCAACTTTTTTCACTTTTGCCTGAGTAAGCTAAAATACGCTTTTATACCCTGAGCCCATTGAATAGGGGAATTCAAAATCTGTAGGCTTGAAAACCGAATATATATGCTTACTCTTTTTGTACACTATTTATGACGTAGTAAGAGTTTGTAATTTTTCAACATTTAATTTTCTTGCTATCGATAATAATCGATATTTTAAATTGGTTTTTCAATCACAACTCGGAAATTTAAATTCGCTGAGCCGGTGTCTGTTATGAATATGCTGATTATAAGCACTTCGGATTTTGGATACCTCCCCCACTTCTCTCCCCTCCCAAACTGAAAAACTGTAATTTAAAGGTATAGACTTGTAGCAAATATACATATTTGTAAGTGATTATTATGTTTTAAAAATGTTCTTAAAGACAATTCAGTTTCAGCACATTATCCTGCCCTGCTGCAGACGCTACATAAGCTACGTAGTAAACGAAGAGATTGCTCAGTCGTGCGTGTGTATGTGTTGTGGGCTATGTATACAAGAGGCGTAGTATGATTGAAATAGCAGCATCTCCTAGTCGGGCACTCTCGGCTAGAGCTTATTTTTTACAACCACCTTATAAATTGAGCACATATATATAAGCTAAAGCAAGCTTCAGTCAGTTAAACAATAACTTGAAAATAAACCAAATTGCAAGCACAATCTTTATATATGTATATGCTACATTTTGCATTAAATAATTTTATAGGGTATTTTAAATTGTTTTTTTTACTATCACCATGTGTAGTTCGAGCACCTGCTTAAGTAGATAAGGTCAAGGCGTAGCAAGCCAAATATAAATTGTTTTTGTATTAGATTATGATATTAATACATTTATGCACATATACCTACATATCACTAATATCACAACTAAACCTAACGACATGGACGAATCTCTTCACGAATCACAGCATGAGCCAGCGACGGTAACATTGAAGGGACACAACTGCTACAACTGCGTCTACAGGCACATCATGGATTGCTGGTGTAAGTTTCGGGAGCGTCTGGCAGCCCGTAATCAGCCCGCAGAGCTTGACGATGATCTGGAAACTTTGGAGCAATATACGCAACGCTGGCGTTCCGTGCGCATCATTTATTTTACAATGTTCTTGATGGCCCTTGGCTTTAGCATCATACTCACCGGCATCTGGCCATTCCTTAGCGAGGTACGTACTCTGTATATGTATGTTTATATAGAGGCTAAAGGGCAAGCATCTCTATAGCTAGATCCCAGTGCGGGCAAGGAGTTTATGGGTTTGATTGTGGCCGCCAATCCGTTGGGCCAAATGATCTTCAGTCCCATCTTTGGTCGCTGGGGCAACAAATTGGGCACTATACGACTACCTTTACTGCTTTCGCTGGCGCTCTTCTCTGTGGCAAGTGCGCTGTATTCTTCACTGGAACTCGTGAACAATGTGAAGTACTGGATGCTAATCTCCAGATTCCTAATCGGCGTCAGCTCGGCTAACATTGCTCTCTGCCGGTCTTATTTGTCAGCGGCTACACGTCTTAACGAGCGTACCCACGCCGTCTCCATGGTGTCCTTGGCTCAGGTACTGGGCTTTATCATAGGTCCTGGCCTACAGGCGCTGGTCACGCCGCTGGGTCGCAATGGTCAAGTCTGGTTTTGGGGTGCCATGCACGTGAACATGTATACCGCCTCCGGCTGGATAAATGTGATCATGAGCTTGGGCAACTTTGTAATGTTTCTGCCGGGCATCTTTGAGGAGCACAGAATAGCCGCTCGCGAGATCATGGTGATGCAGGGCGGCACTTCTGAGCGCGAAACCTGGAAGGCAATAAAACCAAATTACTATTCCGCCTGGACACTGATTGTGGCATTCTTCGTGCTGGTCTTCAACTTTGTGCTGCTGGAAACGTAAATGTGACCTGTTCTTGTTGCTACGTTTTACTCTACATTCCGTCTATTCACAGTTTGGGGACTTCGCTGACCATGGATATGTTCGCCTGGACGAATAATGAGGCGCTCTACAACATGGGCATCTTCATGACCATTGCGGCGATTATATCACTGGTCACTTTTGTACTAATTGAACCGCTATGCAAACTCTTTGCCGAGCGTTTTGTTCTCATCTGGGGTGGCTTCTCATTGATGGTGGTGGGTCGCGTACTTTATATACCCTGGGGACCGGATCCGCCAAAGCTAGCTGTTGCTTACAATGCCAGCTCGAACCTCTCCATTGATGATCCCATTTATTTGGGCTGCCCGGCCACACAGGACTGGTGTCCAGAACTGCCAGCGTTGACATTGACGCAGTTTATTATTGGATTTGCATTAACGTCAGTTGGTTATCCAATTGGTGTTACTCTTATACAGACAATATTTTCCAAGGTACTTGGTCCGCGGCCGCAAGGTGTGTGGATGGGCATTATGACATCCGCGGGCTGCTTATCACGTGTGATGGGCCCCGTGTTTGTTGGCTCCATTTACACACGTTTGGGCACTTATTGGACATTCGGTTTTACATCAATTATGATGATCATTTCTATGATCTGGCTGCTGTGCAGCAAGTAAGTAGATGACTTAAAATGAATCCATTACACTCTAATCCTTTCTTCCTCGCAGTCGTGTACTTATTCCACCAGTCGTGGAGAAGCCACCCATACCTATGCAGGTGATACATCCGAAAGATAAACTCAACGATGCTACGCCAAATAACGACGAATCGGATGAATTGCTGGTGGAGTCCAAGGCGATACGCATAGTGCCCTCATCCCAGGCATAGCAGCATCGTGGACTATAATATATTATCCCAATGACTGCCTTTAGTTTACACATTCACTATGAATTTATAGACATAAATATATTTTGCTAGTAACTTATGTGTTTTAATACTAGGTCATTTACAAGGTAAAAATCATACGTACAGGGTCTTTGAATTTTCTCCACAATCGCACGAACATGTATTGGTGCTTAAGTTTTTATTCGTATATATATATTTATATGCTAATCACACAAATCCAATAGGTCGTAGTTATTTACGCTTAAGAATGAACCTCTTTGATGAAATGAAACTTCTGTGATCCTTGCAATCTTTGTTGCCAGCAGAATAACGTTGTCATTAACAGTCAGACAATGCTACATAAGTATGATTAGTATGATAGGGATGTCTATATGGACTATGAATATTTCTTGTTTGTTTTTTTTTTGTTAATGCTGTTAAGCGTGCGGGACTACCAAGGTGCTGGCATCCACATATGTAAAAACGGCAACTGCTGCAGTTGGTGATAATGAGGCATTGTCGGCGACCAGCAAAAGAGCCAACATGATGAACCGCTAAAAGCATTATAGTTGTAAACGGGTACAAGTGGTGGTGCACTTGTAGCAAATGCACCGCCCAAATCAGCTGCTGCTGTCACTCAGCTGCTGCCGTTATAGTAAAACTCATCTCAGTAGGGCGCATACCGGCGACCTGGCGGCGAAGGGCCGCGCATGCCACGTGACGAAATCATACGTTCGTCGAAGGAATCGCGACTAAAGTCTTCATAGCCATGCGGTGTCGGTGAGCTGGTCAATAATATAAAATAATTAAAATCTTGTTATTAATCTTATATTTATATATATATACACACCCGTAGCGACTCATGCCGTTACTGCTGCGTGGGGGCGGAGGTGACCGCCTACTGAACATGGTATCATAGCCACGAGAGACACTACAGGAGCGCAAGCTGCCGCTCAGCGGTGGGGGCAGTGGCATAGGTTCACGACGCGAAATTGGTGGCGGTGGGAAATCACGCATGCGTGATGACTGGTAGCGACGCTCGTACAGATCGCGTGAATCCTCAAAACGGCGGTCATAGTAATCATAATCCTAGAGAACAAAGTGCTCATATTAATATTAAGGTAAAACCTTTTGAGTAAAGTGAATCGTGTATTTTGATATTTTAAGGGTATTCGCGGCGAGTCGATTCATAGACTAACTGCTTAAAAACTGTGGAAATTAATTTAAAATGGAGATATTCAATTTGTAAGCTGGTAATTACAAATATCTTTTAAACTCGTGTCAGACCGTTAATCTTTAAGCAGTTAAATCTTTTCGCCGACCTGTCGAGAGTAGCCAAATTTGTCTGCATTTACCCTAAAACCGTCCATTATGCGATCACGCAGGAATGGCGGAGGTGGCGGTGGCGGCGGATACGGATCACGACTGTACATGCGATCTCTGTAGCCGCCGGCGCTCAACGGTGGTGGTGGCTCGCGTCCACCAGTGCCTGTCCAACGCGGACACTCTTTCGACCAATGACCGGAACGGCCGCAACGATAACACTGCTCCGGATCGCCCATGCCCGGTTTGGGGCGTACACGACTAGTGGAAACCTGCACCTTCAGTGGCTGTCCATCAACAACGCGACCGTTCAACTCCTTGATAGCATCCTGCACATCACCGACACAATCCAAATGGACAAACCCATAATTGCGCACAATGTCGCATTCGACGACGGTTCCGTATTTCTGAAATAGTTCGCGCACCTCCGGCGCACGCGTTTTGTCGGTAAGATTTCCAACGAAGATTTTCGTTGTTGGCGTATTGGGGGCGCGTCGACTTTTAGCGGCCTCCACCTTGATGGCGTTATCATTCAAAACGTAACCGTTCAAGTTCTGTATGGCATCGCGACCCTGCTGTTCGGTTTCCATGTGTACAAAGCCATAATTTTTCACCACATCGCATTCGACGACAGTACCGTATTTCTCGAATAGCGCACGCAATTCGGTTGCCTGCGTCTTCTCATCGAGATTACCGATGAACAACTTGAACGTGCCGGCTCCGGGCATCACGGCGACGGTTTCGGCTGCGGCGTCGTCCACGGTTCTTGCGTTAATTCAATATCTTGGGAAGCTTGAGGCGTTAGCGTACGCGATTTTTGTGTTCTGTTTTGTTTACGCGTTATTGACGTAAATGTAGCGCAGCTTGTGAACGACAACGGCGGCGACCGCGACCTCAAAGTGAAAGAAGAAGCAATGCAAATTTTCATTTTGATTGTGGTTTGTATTGAGGCAGAGCAAGAGACAAGCAATTCGATAAAAATTTAACAACAAAGAAAGGTCACAACGCGTCCATTAAACTCTAAGATCAGACACATGCACAACGCGTGAAAAATCATTATAATTTCCACACAATATACAAAACAAGATGGCGGCGACAGCGACGGCGGCAATGCGAAATACTGATATGCAGAAATGGCAGGACGGCGGCTTCTATAGTTGTTTATGCGTTCAAACTTTTAAAGACTTCTTACCTGTGCTCTTCTTAATAGCAAATAAAATATTGCCCAAATTCTATATTCTCTCTCTGTGTTCAGCAGCTTACAAAAACTCACTTTCCCACAACCTCTTAGGCAAAATGATTTTATGTGTATGTATGCCAGTACTGACAAATTAAATATCGACTATAAAAAACTCATCCCTGTCGATATGGAAAAATCGAGTTGGAGTATCGATATTCCCTGCTTGTATACTTAGTGCAAAATCTTTTCGATTAACTGTTATATTGGTTTGTACGCTCTACTTGATTGCTTAGCTAGAACACCTTCAAGGTATGACAAAATATTATTAAAGCTGCCGATAAATAATATTAGGGCTGCAACATTGTTGTAGTCTACAACACTGGAATTCCGAATTAGCGCTCTTATTAAAAAAAGCGGGAAAGATAGTTGTAATCAAACAATAATTATGGAAACTCCTACGGGACGTGCTGCACGGCCTTCACGAACTGCTACGCCGCGGCTCTCGGAGCGCAAGAAGCAATTGTTTCGTAGCCGGAGTTCTATGATGGACCAAATAGAAGACGACGGGGATGTCGAGGACCCATTGTTGGGTATTGCACCTCTGAAGCCAAGACACCTAAGTCAGTTAACTAAAGGAACGAAGAAGCCAAACAATCGTTGCAACCTGTTCGAGAGCGTTGGTGATAGAGATGATCAAAGTAGTATGAGCAGTTCTCCCGAGACCAATAAGGAAAACAAGACCTTACGGAAGACACGTGGCTCTGCTATATCGGCGGGGACGGAGGAGCAATTGCCGCATTTGTTTACTAAAACTATGCGCATTCATAGCAATAGCAGCACCAGCCAAAGTCATAGCTCCAGTCCACGCACGCCCCAAGGACGAGGCCGTGTCGTAAACGCTGATGAATCTAGCACGGATACTGATGACTCAGCCACTGGTAAGCAAAGAAAAGTAACAAAAAGAGCGCACGAAATGATGGCTGCAGTGACCATCGAATCTTCACCGGAATCCGCCACAACATCGCCAAAGTGCAAGTGGCGCAGGACCCAAAAAGAATGCATACCGACAATGGCGTTCTATTCATGTACTACCAGTACTCAAAGTGCTTCACGTAGATCAGGCTCTTTGAAAAGTGTACGTCGGACGGCACAGCAACAACGCGTAGGCAAGACTAAGGCTACTTCGCCGCCATTTCGTCCTCGATTGGGCATCAATAAGGGCGTGCATCACGGAATACGAAAACCTCAGCGTACCGGCGCATCGATCAATTTGGATGACATATTGGGATCGTTGCGGAATGAGAAATTACGCAATATGATTATCACGAAACGGGAGGAGCTAGCCAAGGTAGAGGAGGTCCACAATATACTGCGCAGTGCAAAGGATCCAATTAAAATGGCTAAGCCGCTCAGCGTAATCGCTCTTGATGATGCCAATAATAATAATAATAACAATAACAAGGAAACTGAAGCACAATTTTTATCTGCTGTGGATTTTTCCGACCTTAGCGACGATGAAGAATTGCATACTCCCTCAACTCAGGCTGTAGCCATGGAACTCGAACCAATTATACCAATAATTCGTCATTCTAATCCAACAGACACATCGCCTAAAGCGGATCCTCCCAACAATCGAAAGTTCTTCAAATCAGGCAAACGTAACAGCACGTGCATGGAGGTACGGATAACGGATAACATTCGCGCTAGCGTTAGCCAGGGCAAGATATCGTTGATGGAGGCCCCTATAAAAAAACATCGACAAGTGCGCGTTAAATCCTCTACAATTTTTTCAGCAGAGCAGGCGACCGTTGATGCAATACTACGTAATCTTGACGAGACCGTCGTGGATGAAATCATTGAACCAGGACCAATAGCGGAATCAATACCTCAATCTCGGACAGATCCTGAAATGGAAGATCAGGTATTGGTGCCAGATCCATACGAAAAGTACCGTCAACAATTGCCATACCAGACAGATGATCCTGCAATTATTGAACAGCAAGCCCTCTTGCTCGAGTTTCTAATAACCAATAACATATGTACAGATAAGAATTTTGAGATATTTATAGCTGATCCAGATAATCACAAGGAAGAGGCCACAAGCATTGTAGATAATTTATACACGGTAGTTTATGCAGATCAGCTAGATCTGGCAGAAGCTGAGAACAGCAACAAAACTGAAATCGATCATGTACCTGTGGAGGACAACTCTCCAGCGTTGGATGTAGAAAAGACCAATAAAACGGAAACGAGTTTGTTGTCCGTTGAGCCTCAAGGAAAATTGTTTCCTATTTTCACTCAACGCCTACAGCCAATGACACTAAAGTCATCGCGGCATAAGACGAATGCCTCGCTGCGGTTAATGACTGGTGCGAGTGGTTCCAATCAATATCAAATCGACGCTGGTCAAAAGGCCTTTGGAGCCAGGCAATGCCAACAGTGTGGTCTAGTCTATACCGTCCATGAACCAGAGGAGGAGCAGTTACATAAGGAATATCATGATGCTGCCCATGTGCTACGTTTTAAGGGTTGGATAGACGAAGATATCGTAGCCGTTTGTCCAGATTGGGCGGCTGATGGACGGATTATACGTTTGAACGAACGTGCTCCTTCTGTCCGCTTACAGCGGCTTACTGAACTGATCAACGTAATAGACAAGGAATTGGGCTACTCCTCCTATGTTGTGCCAAAGACATTTGTAGCCTTCCTTGCTGTGCGTAAACAGCAAATCGTGGGGCTGTGCCTTGTACAGCCGCTGACGCAGGCGCACAGATTTATTCAGGTCGATGGCATCGACTACTTTAGTGAGGAGACATTTGAAGCTAGGTAAGTATTTAATGTAAGCCCTCCGTTATCTGCCTGTTACTAGTAATATTCTGTATTCCATTTTATGTAGCTGTGGTGTGGCCCGCATTTGGGTTTCGTCACTGCATCGTCGGAAAGGGATTGCCAGCAAATTACTGCGCGCAGTGCAATATCATACCGTTTTGGGTTTCGAAATACATCGTGATCGCATTGCATTTAGCTCACCGACGGATGATGGACGGGCTTTAATTCGTCAATTTACGCAGAATGATAATTTCCTGACTTACCAATGAGAAACACAGGAGTTTGGCTATTGAATAGCTGGCTATTGTACGCTGTTGAATATCGTTTACTATAAATGCCTATGTTTTAGTTATTAAGAAAGAAAGATATTTTGAAATGAAATTGTGTTATATTTAAACCAAATTTGTTTGCAGAATGGTGTTTTAATTTAGTATTAATTTTTCGAAGCATACTTTTAGACGCATCCTAACACGCAGTCTAAATAAACGCGATAGTTATATATCGATATTTATTTCAATATTGATCAGTAGCAGCAATGCAACTTATCAATCGATAGTTAAGTTAGCTTGTGAGCCAGGCTTTGGGCGTTGTTTTTATTGCTGGTCTAGAAATAGATAAAAATATTAATTATAAACGCATGTGCAGTGTTTAGAAATAGAAATAAATCGAGCCAAGTTTCAATTGCAGTTATACTTAATTGAGAGCAAATGGTAAGTGAACGAAATATAATAAATGTTGCATCTAGCAAGGCAACGCGGTAATTAGTGCCACGCCCAACGTGACTGAATTGAACTAAAATCAAAAGCAACATTTAGGGTTGAATGTAGTCTGTTGTCAACGTTTCTTATTGTGTATACGCATATTTCAGACAATTCGGCGTTACACTTGTGGTCAGCAAGAGAAGCAAGTAGCTAACAGAGAAATAGGCCAGTGACTTCATCAGTCAACGGCTTCTCCTATCACACTCTAAAGTAAATAAAGGCAGAGCTTGTGGGACTATGTCCACAATCGAAGAGGAGCGTAAAGCGTACATTAATAATCCATATTTTACTGGACCCATCTACGGCAGCTTCAAGCCGTTTTATGTGACTATCGCCATTTGCACAGTTGTGCTCGGCTCGATAATTATATTAAACATAATCTTGGGCTGCTGCTCCAAGCACCGCAAGTACTGGCAAGACCGGCACACGGGCAATCGCTGGTTAGTTTCCATTTGGTCTTCTACTCCTCACAAGCAACCACCTCTTGACTTCACTGAGCTTAAGGACGCCAGCTATTTCGATCGATTCCACGTAAATAATTACCTCGAAGTAAAAAGCTTTCACAACATAACATATCTGTCCATTACAGCCTACCACTCACCAACAAGTGTTTCCCAGTGACGTCGTCGTTTCAGTTGACGATTTAGAGCCCGTTCATCAGTCGCATCATCAACAACGACCACCCCGTCCAGAGGGTCGTACATTGCATCAGCAGCGCCAGCGCGAAGAATACGTTGAGTTGCAGAAGCGTGAAAGTGACATTTAAACCATGGCATTATATTTTCTATATCCCGCCGTAGCTGCCTTAGCTCTCTTCGTTATAGGCGTCATCATTGTCATGCTGCGCTATGGTCCGCGTCTATGTGGGCTACGTCATCATGCTCTACCCGACAATCATGACTTGCGGGAAAAGACCTACGAGCATGAGATTAGTTATGCCTGATCCGCCATTTCCATAATTTTCTCTTAAACACAACCACTTTTACTAACCATATTTATAAGTTTCTATATATTGACCATAACTAACTTTTCACAAAAATATTTAATTGTGTCTGCTGGAATTGCACAATTTCTTTTACATACATGCAGTACAAAATGCCCTCAACATTTAGTTAACATTTGTCAGCCAGCTTTTATCATTCCATTTTGAAAAACATACAAATAATGTGCCTTCAATATCTCAATGAGAAACGTTTGCCGTCCAAGTGTCTTTTAGAATTTTAAGAGTGCTCAGCTAAAAATATATAAACATACCCTTTTGATATGAACAGAAAAAGTTTATAACCTTTTTATATAAAATTGAATCAGTTATAATGCATGTTTGTTTAATGTGCACTTTAATAAGAAATATAATTTACAAACAAACTCTACATTTGTATTCAAAACATTTATACAATTTTTGACCAATAAAAATACATTTCAATAGAAACCGAATTTCGAAATCGACCGAATCAGTTTTTATTTAGATACTGACCGACTTTAACTTAAAAAATAACAATTTTAACTTCTGATTGAAAACAAAACCATTTAATATCAAATCTGTTTTAAATTAGGAAGGATATATATGAAAACATTATTGACTAAAAAGATGATAACAAATGCATTTTGTATTCGGCAATGCAGATGGACGACAGCACTTCATATTTCTTTTCAATTGTGAGTAAATTAGACGTTCCTGGGCCAGCACAAAAATCATACGCTGTCATCGAGGTAAATTTAATAGATTTTAATAGGTTACTAATATACTCTTCTTTTTTCTTCTGCTCTTTTTCATCGTTTTGTTCTTTTGTAATTTGCTCTGTATTTGGATCTGTACTCTTTTCCGTATCGTTTTCATTTTCATCTTTCTTGAATGATTCATTCTCTATATCTCGTTCCGTTTCTTCCGCATTTTTAATATCTGTTTTTGGTGCCTCTACTAAGGCCTTAACTTTTTTGATGACTGGTGAATAATCTCCACATTCATCATCGTGATCACTATCAACGATTGAAGTATTTTGTGAAAATTGTTCTGAGCTTTCCACTAGACCATGTATTTTGCAATAACGATCTATTACACTAAAACGTAGCTTATCCCCAACAATATCATTAAATTCCTCGATAAATTTTAAAAAGACCTCCGAGCTAAGATCAAAAACTGCTGCCGCGTTGATGTAGGCATCTGGATTAAAACGAAATTTCTAAATAAAAAAATATTACGATTTTGATTTAATTCATATTATTTATGTCAATAATACTCACAGATCTAATGTTAGTGACTAGTTCTTCGTCTTCAAGCTGGTGGCTGTACTCGAATAAATCAATTGTCACATCCGCTTCTAAACCACTGGACAGTCGACGTTTGATCACATTCAAGCAATTGTTGGTAAAAAATGTTACCATGAACTTTTTGCTTAGATAAATCAACGTTTGCAGTGTCTGCAGATCATATGTGTCTAGTCGACGATTATCGTGCCAGTACAAATATTCCATAAATTTCTTGAAATCATTGCCCGACACATCGTCAAGGACAATATTATCGGGTATCTTTGCCTCCTCGAAGTCGCCCTCAAACATGCGCTCGAAAACTGGCGAAACACTAAAGGATATTTAAATATTGTATATAAATATATTAACCTGGTTTAGAATAAATAATAAAATATTTCTTACGCACCTCATAAGCACAAATTTGTGATATTTTAAAATCACCTTTTTGCCATCGTTATCATAGACAACAAAACTGCAATCCGACAAGTGGCCGGTCTTCAGCAAATATTCCATGCGTTCTCTAGGTCTGAAAAGGTTATTTATATAAAAAATTGTGGTCTAAGACCGAAATCTAGAAAATACTTTTAAAAAATCTTTGCAATGTAACATATATTTTTAAAAAGCCAATCTATAACGATGCCAAAAAGAAATTTTACTCGAATTTCCAGCCAATATTCGTAAGTGAATAAATTGGTTGATAATCTCTTACCGGAGATCCTGCCAGTTTGAGCCCGCATTCTGCATTTTAGTAATTTAGTTGGCCAAGGAGCGGTTTGCACGGGTAAAAATTGCGGCGTCAATGCAAAATGTAGTTAGTGTTGCAAAACGACTAGGGGAGAACTGCGAATTTTTACAGAATACGGTCACTCTGCTTAATCAGCTGTGTGCTGTTTTCTGTTGCCGTTGTAGAATTCAATATTAAATTAAGAACCCACCTGCACCTATAAAAATGATTTTACTTATTAACATTTGTATCGGAATCGGCCTACTGCCATTAAGTCATTCAGCAATGAGTGAGTGTCCTACATATAACGTACCATTGATGCGATCTGAACTGGAAGCAGCTAGTGAAATATCTTTGATGTTTTACTACGTGTCTTGGTCGAGCGATGCCAGACAGGCCCGTTTGGTTTACGATGGCGTAGCGCACTATTACAAGGATTACGCCTCGTTTGGCGTCGTGGATTGTTGGCATCTACAATGCAACTGCAGCCGCACTCATCGACAGCTCCCCGGCATGGCAATTAACGGCGGCTATCCAGACAAGTGGCCCACGTTAATGGTGAACTATGGGCGGAAATTGAAACTGCAATATCAGGGCGCGTGGCATTTCGAAGATCTGACAAGATTCATGAATAATCTTATACAGCCTATCGATCGCGTACACACCACCTCAGAGTTGGGCGCGCTATGGAGGATATCAGATGCCGTTGTGCTAGCTTTGCTGGAATCTGCTAATAGTCAAGCATATAGGCGCTTTTTGGCGACCGCGATACATTGGTTGGAGTTCGATCCGGAGCGTAACGTACGTTTTGCAGTTACGTTTGGCCAACGAGCGAAGGAAATGCTAAAGGTGGAACAGATATTACTGCCACAACTAGTGCTCATAGATAACCGGCATGGTTTGCACAGCTATAATAAATCGAATATTTGGCTGCCAATGGAGATCTTGCATTGGATACGACCCAAGGTTAATCCTCTCCAAACCGCTGGCTATGGAACACCCGCAAAGATTGCGATTAAGGCCCGTCACATGCCCGTGCTCGCCATGAGCATACGAATGCACCATCAGCACACTGCCATGCCCTTAGTAATGGGCGAGGACGCGCTTCGTGGAGAAAATATTGACTGCGAGAAATACTCGCAAGAGGATGCTCTCGACGACCTTGAGACACGTTACAGGTCGTTGATGCAAATGCCGTTACATATGTATGAAGGTGCAAATACGTCGAATCAGTTAACTAAGAATTGCTATCAAGCACTTCAGCTTTCTGAAGCTACACTGGCGAACTACTATTCCATCAATGTGTATCTAAATTATCTGTGGTCTCATCACTCTCACGAAAACGAATTGGAGTCAAAAACTCGTCAGCTCTTAGCACTGCACACACGCAATCGGTGCTTAGCACATACCCATTCACAGCAGGGCACGCCAGCTTTAAAGATTGGCATAGCCAAGGTGGTTGCGAAATATAGTCTGTTGATGTGGCAGCATTCACCGGAACAGCTATCGCAGAATCGTTCTCTGGCCGTGGTGCTCTTTGATGGCACCAAATATCGCGATTTTCTGCAACAACTTGGCGTAGATCAAATTTATCCCAATGGCAATCATAGAAGAGACAGTTCAGCAGTACAAGTTTTCATTGTGGATGCAGCAGCTGAAGCATTGTATGTCATGCCACAGCATCAGCCGTTCTCTTACCAGGCACTGACTGAATTCATTAAGCAGTTCTATGCCCGACAGCTCCCGCGCATACAAAGGAACTACGTACCAAAAACTGTCACATCCCGGGATGCATCATATATACAGACTTACAATCGCCAATTGTTGCTGCAGGCATTGCAACGCGCTAATGCAACCAATGTCGTACTCATTCACCGTCCGGATTGTGCACTTTCCGCCGTTATGTCGCAAGAACTAATGCAAGTTGCAGCAATGTTACGGAGTCCGGAAGTGAATTTTATACGCTTTAATAGCCAGGCAAACGATTTGCCTTGGGAGCTAACGATGTCAGTGACCCCGGCGCTGCTCGTGTTTCCCCAATCACGTCCCACAGAGTCTGCGATATTTCCCACTGATGTGAGAGTAGACACGGCCAACATAATGTCTTTTATACTGGCACAACTTGAACCAGAACAGCAGTTACGCTTAGTGTTAGCTAGCTGTCGCAGACGCATGCGACATGCGCGGAGTTGTTTGGACTTCGCCGGGAAGCTCGTGCTCCAGCACGTCAGCCAATATTTGAGATATTGGGAAATATTTGTGACGGAGCGAGATCTGATCTTATCACATCTCAAACAGTTTAATGATATGCACATAGCCATCGAAAGTAGTATAAGGTTATAGTATTTTAATTTATCTCAAAGTGCTATAATCTAACTAATTAAGAATATAAATAATTATTGTGTAAGTTTAGTGCGGAGCGAGCTCACTTATCTGATATTTAAGTCCAAAATAAGTATAACTTCGTTGTTATCTAATAAGTATAGTTTAAGGAGCTAGTAAATCAACAAATAAGTTACGACTGATTAATTGATTTTTGTTGATTACTTAACGTTACACGATTAAAAAAAAATAAAATACTAGTAAAAAATTTGCCAATGTGCAAACCGGAATTATTCTAAATAAAGTTAAATTTTATTTTTAAATTTGATAACTGTGTGCCCAGCCAAAAGTTGTGAAGAAATGTATTCTTCAACTATGACTATCGATATCATTTCGATTATGCTTATAGTAATAAATTGTGCGTATTCTGCAACACAATCACTAAAATGTCACGGTTTTCAGATAAAATTAATATAATAGACCAAAGTACATATCACATTTTAAAAGAGGATAATGGGAAGCGAAAGGTATTACGCAGCTCCAAATATAAAAATAAACACAAGGAGGAACCAAAACTGTCTCTGCTGGACTTTCTTACCGTGCCCCGCCAGAAGCAGAAACAACAAAAACGTCCTCATCTGATCATAGCTAGAAAGTCTGTGTCACTTCAAACAAAGCACAAGGGAAAGACGCGTTTGCATCCTAAACGTCGTATAGCACGCCTAAAACGCATTATTCGAAATTATCGCAGTTTAAGGCAGCATAACGTTGACAACGAAACAAAATATACGGAAGAGATACAAAAGTCTTCGGAAACAGAAGAGCCTCACAAGTTAACTTTGTGCGTGACAGCAAATGAAAATGACAGAAGAGAGCAGAATCTTGCTTTAAATTACGTCGTACCAAATCCTTTACAGGTAATAGAAGACTTAAAGTGTCTTACTTTGAATGAAGAGAAGTCAGAGAAAGCCACCTTATCAACCCCAAAACATAAAATACATTCCCGACGGTTTAGAAGGTGCGTAGAGTATAAAGTAATCAAGCTCCCCTAACTAATTATAGTTCTCATATGCAGCTACTGTGATAATTGCACGACACCCCGTCTGAAAGAGCTGACAACTCAATTGCTAAATGACTTGGATCGTTTTCAGAAACGCGCCTACGCTCACAATGAAATTAAAGCACGCGCCCATCCGCGCTTGGTGGTGGGATTTCGAGAGTCGCTGTCTAGGCTGCGCATTAACAAAGTGAAGCTGTTAATCCTGGCACCCGACTGTGAGAACTGCCCACTTCCTGGTAGCTAAAATATTTAACTCAAAAAATGTATAACCTATTATTAATCTAAACATTTTTTAAGGCGGCCTGGATGATACCATAGATGAGTTAAAGTCTGTTTGTCAGCAACAAAAAGTGCCTTATTGCTTCTCGCTAATGCGTCGGGAGTTAGCCTATGCACTACATAAGCGAGCACAAATATCATGTGTCGCCATTCTGGACTTTGATGGAGCCAATGAAACGTTCAAGCAGTTGCTGAAAGAGTTGGATGTAGCCAGCTATCAATACAAATGTTTAACTGCAACGTGATCTTTATTGAATCAAGCAGAAAAAGTGCCAAAAAGGTGCCTACTCAAATATGTTAATAAACTAAATTTATACTCATATAATTCACTAATTCAAGGGCGTCATCATTGTAGTAGTAACCAGATCGAATAGTGAGGAGCTTTCATTGCCAAATTCGGTGGCAGCTCCCACTAATCCAGCGGTGTCGTTAAAGCTATTAAAAGAGTTGATTGCATCCTTGGCCTGCTGTGCAGCCAAGTTGAATTGTATAAGAATAATAAGATAGCTAGTGATGCCGCCGCTAACACCATATAACGTTTCCATGTCCAGCGTGAAGAAACCACAGGCCGAAAAGTCCACGGAATGATTTAGCAACTTTAGCGACAAGTGATTCACAATCTCGTACAGCAAATTGTCATCAGCCACGACTCCACATTTATGCAAACTGATGCCAGTCCGCTTAGAGGCCAACGAGGTTTTCCAGCTCAAATAAATTAGATAAATGCATTTTCCCGATGTGTAGACGAGCACGATGACTGTAATAAAGGGATTCTTTGCGGAGCGAAATAACGAGGGTATCGATTGTGCCCGGGTGGCACAGTACAGAAAATACAGTTGAGCCGTAAATATCAAGAAGCCGTAGGCCATTAGTGAAAGAATTGGATAGCTCCATAGCCCATTCATTGCCTTGCCTATCTCACAGATCTCGTCGTGCACTTGACACAGATTGTTCAGCTTTTCCTCGACTTTGGTCGCATTGCTTAACTCGCTTTCATGAGCCATGTTTATCATTGGAGTTGTATTCGACTGTAGCAGCTTTCGAGGCGATTGAATCGATTCTCCAAATGAGTTCAGCGAGTGGGCGACTTAGTTCATTAAATTTAACAAATTATATTATTATGGATAGCAACTTACGGATGATAACTTACTTGGGGAAACCTTGTTCTTGCCTTTGCTACCTGAACCCCTCAGTGAGCCCACGTCGATACCACCTAGCTCCTTGTATAAGTACTCCAGATTGCTGTCGTACTGTGGCGGCTGGGACTCAGAATCATCTGCTGCGCGATCCTCAATGGGATCATTGGGATCGACCCCATTTAACCAGGTCAGGAACTTTTCGTGTTCTGCTACGAGATCTTCCAAAGTAGCATTAATGGCTTCAAAACGTTCTTTCAGTGCATATAGCGACACGGCAAACCAAATTTTGTCCAAAGTATTGATAAAAGTGGGAATTGCCGAGACAACCCACAAGACGGATAGCCACTGCGTATAATCAACGAGCATAATGTATGTGCTTAACAGAATGAAAAGCTCAAACACAAATGTCATAAGAAGCATTATACGAATTCGCTTTGCTATACTGCTGTTGTCCACCAGGCACTGCTCACGGTACAGACGTTCATCAACTACGCGTATGCGCTCGTACAGGTCGCCCAGTCGTCCTTGATTAAAGAGCGCTGTCACTTGATCCGTGACCATCATAATAAGCCCAATATAGGTCAAAAATAGGCCAATAACAAATGTCAAGGTGCCTGCATGGTTTTGTTACCTAATTGAATTAAACACCAATCTCATCCTACTTACTTTGAGTTGCTTTGAGCGAGCGATCCTCTTCTCCAAAGGAGTAAATTAGCAGATTATAAAGCACCATATAAAACATCAAGATGCCCAGCATATAGACCATGCCATTGCGGGACTTTTCCAAAACATTTTTAAATCGAAACTTGTCTAAATCCTGTGGCAATACGCCCACCAATTTTGATAAGAAAAACAGTTGCTGGAATTGCATCAACAACGGCTGCACCATTGGTGTCGGTTGTGACATGCTGCGCGTTGGTCAGAACAAACTCGAATGCTAAATAATAATCGACCAAGTGACACTTTTAGCTGGCTACCACTTTACTTAATTAAATTGGTTTGTTGAATTGTTCCGCTAATCGATACAATCAACGAATGCAATCTCATGGTCCTGTTTAAAGGAAAAGGACTTACGTGAGGGAAAATATACGTTTATTGAATCGTCATCAATTGTATATATATTATAATAAATAATTCATAATTAACCCAAAATAGATATTACATATAATATAAACTTAACACAACATCCAGATATATACCTTGGGGCTTTATTAAAAATCGTTCAATAGCATAAGGCCATAAGAATTACATTTAAGATCATTTGAATGAACTGAATTTTATTAGATGGCATTTAGGTCGGGATTTGCATGGTTTTCATGTGTACCAAATACTACAATTTGTGTACAGTTGTATTTGGTGTAATATATATAATATAAAGATTAATTTCCCTTTCATTTGGAATTTAAAATTGTTTCCAACGTAAATAATTTGAAATTTGTCAGTTGATCAAGTTTTTTATTACTTCTTTTTACGACGATCGTTTTGCTTTTGCTCCTCCTGAAAATGAGATGAGATATTACAATATGTTAATCACTGTTTCCAAGGTTATAAATATAGTTTCACAAATGGCGAACTTAATGTGAGGATATCGTTTTCAAAAAAGTTATTCGTAAACCTGGAAATGAATATACTTCCAAAAATAAATTAAATTAAAAAGGCCAATAGGAAAAGAACACCTAGAGACTTTTGTGAAAGTATACTTATTGCCTTGGACATACGAAAGAAAGGTATACGCTTAAATCGGCATACCGTTGCGATTGAATATTAAAGAATATTTCTTTGCAATATAATTAAAGATATTGATTGATATAAGTAGTCAGATCAAGGTTATTCATTGGCTTGGTCGCTAAACTGCATTGACAAACCAAACTCTCAAACCATAAAACTCTTGAGCTGTAATATAGGGCACAATATTGAGCACAAGTCAAATATACTATCCCTGCCTTAATCGATAACAATTAAAATTAGGATATTGTAAACACACCTTTTGCGTTAAGATAATTAACAAACGGCGGAACATGCTCAACACGTCGAAGAAAAGATCCAATGCATGCTGTACAACATCGCGGTTGCCCAAGCGGCATTTGTCGACAATGTTTTGGGTGTCGTACACTATGAAGGCAGCCATAACAAAGACGCCAACGTATAATTGAGTCTGAAACGAAGATTATATATTAGCTGAACCAAAGTGATTATACTTTGATATTACTTACAATTTGGACAAAGTATGATTTAAAGATCATGTTGAATAGACTGAGCAAAGCCATGCAGTTTATAACGCTAACCAGCATACCACCCAGATACAAATACTTGCCCTGTTCGGCAAGCAGAGCGGCTAGCGACAAAGAACCAAACGTGACAAAAGTCCCAGTTAGTGCAGTTAGGATAATCGCCGGATTGATGCTGCAAATGTAGTCCAACAAGGGACCCAATGTTTGCCCCGAACAAAAGCCAAAGGCATAAAGCATTCCCAAGCGCGTGTAATAGTTTTTGCCGTCGTCTTTATAAAAGTGTAGACCCAGAACCAGCACCAATGAAGCGATAGCTGCTAACATGCCCAAATCGAAAGTTCCACGCATTTGGAGCAGGGCGCCCACTGCCGAAGCAGCGGTAGTGCTAGCCAGCACCATATAAACTTTGGACAGGTGCTGACGGATGAATGGCTCACTAAAAAGAGAAAGGCAGGATGCATTAGTTCAACTATGAGTGTACGTGTACATTACTTTCAAGGACTATTGATTAGACCCGACCAACTGTTGATGTGGAATTATAACAAAACAACACGTCAGCCTCACCGTGGCCTTCGCTTTGCCCCCTAGCAAAGTGTTTGCATTTGACTCAATTTGCGTATCGAACAGTGACTTTTGTGCTAGTGTAAGGTTTATTTGTATACTCACTAGCGTTCGCCGATGCCGTGCATAAAACGTTGGAAACGTTCGTTTATATATTGTGCCGTATCCGCCATACTGTATCCTTGTTTTCTACTTCAAATGAGTTTATTTCTTTTCTTTTTATATTAATCGAACGGAGGAGGGTGAACGGAATGTGAACTAAAATAGCAAAACCTTGTTAATGGGATTGACTGATTTTACGTTGTATACTACGTCGATCTTTTCGTTTTTGTATTTCACATTTATTTATCTATATTGCACTTTAGTGTTGAGTAATATCGAACTTGACGAAGCTTCCAGATGATAGGGTAACCATTTGTGCGCAAAAGAACATATGGTCACACTTCAAGCAAGAAACTTTAACACAATTATCGGCGCGTGATAGCTTTTTGAAATTCCGAACTCGAATAACTTGATACTTGGACGCTATTGAAGGAATCTTTATTATTGGACCATTTATTAACTAAAAATACGAACGAAAGTTCGATGTGTTTGAAGATAAATATTTGTATGTAAGCTTTTCTGATCGATTTTCAATAATTATGAAACCATCGTACTAAATTATAAATTTACACTTTATTTCGGGCCATTAGCGCTAGTCTTTGCTCTAAATAGAATATTGTGATAAATTGAACACTAAGTGCGTATATTTTTTAAACAATAATAGAAAACATAAATTTAAATAATGACGATTTGTCTTAAGTATGAGTGACATAAATATGATTTTGCAATCTTGATATTATCCGTTTAAAGTAAATAAGAGGCGCACTTACAGACTATATTTTCATATACATATATGTATATAACGTTACCTGTATTGTGCATGATTTACAGTAAATATGTATATTTAATTTCACTCAAAATCACAGTTTCAAGTTTGTACAAGACAAAATTCGTTTGATTAAAAGTATTAACCGACCGTATTGGTCGTAATGCTTCGCGTTAGATCAGACCTAAGAAAGTTACAGGTACTAAATATCGAAAACTATAACTTACACAAATATCATATGGATTAGTGTAGCAAGTTTTAAGTTAAAATTCATTTACAAATGTTTGTGTACATAGTACAAATAAAAATAAAGTTCATAGTATGTATATAAAAAATGAAATTAAAGGTTAGTGTTACATAGCAACTACATAAAAGCTTGATCGCATTTAAAAATTCTACAATAAATGCTGTAAAGACCTCAATTAGTTTATAGTTAAGGTAATTTATCATCACAGGCGCACAACAACTCATTCATACCACTTATTTACATAATATGGATTAATATTGTCATTCTAGCTATATGTATATATATAAATATTCAACTTATCCATTGGATAAGGGCAGTCAACATTTAGAGGTATGATCAGTCACACACACGCGCACAATAAGCTCGCTTAAATGTATATAAATAAAGTCAACTTTAGATAAATGCTTGAGACAAGATTTACAAAAGGAAAAGAGATGTTTGAATACAATTGGGCTTATTACGATTCTTGGCCTTATTTCGGCAAAAGTTTTGCAATTTGCAATCAGATGCAAGTGTTAATATAACAATATTATTAAGAATAAATGCGTTGTAGTTGTACAATTTAAATATATATGTGTATATCAATTCGTAAACTATATTTTTATATATATATATAGGGTACAAGAAGACACACAACGCAAGACAGTTTGAGTATTTCTTTTCGAACATTTTTTAGTTTTCATATATATATATGTTTTATTAAATAAACCGAAATATTAAAGTACAATAATATTGAAATTCTGCGGTGAAGATGACGATGATGATGTTGATTGTAGTTCATTTCGTCTGTAGCTGCTGTCCATCCGTCCCGTCCCTTCATCCGCGATGACGACCTCAATTGGGATGTGTGCAGATGCAATGCAGTTATAATGCCGTTAATATGTTAAATTGTGTGGGCGTGGCAGTCCGTCGTTCAATTGTGTATTGTTTTTTTGTAGAGGCTTGTCAACATTTCGGCTTACTCTAGTACGTCTAGGAGAAACTATGTTATACCATATTCATATCCTACGTATTGGTAATGTTAGATACAAATCAAAATTTGTTAATCTTGTGGCTGGCCTTCTTCAGCTTGCTGCATCATTATTATGTGTTAATAAAAGTGTCTAGGAGGTGTAAGATGTGTTTGGGTATGTGTTGGTTGTTATTAATTTTGCTTTCGCTTGTGTAGCAGTCAATGCCTGGAACGATGCTCCTCACGCCTATCCCGATCACGTTCTCGCTCACGCTCACGGTCCCGATCCCGATCACGACGTTCACGATCCGAAGAGCGATACCGTTCCCTTTCCTCGTAATACCGTTTAGATGACGGTGCTTCAGCGGCTTCTGCAACAACCGGCTCTGGAGATTTACGTGGACGTGCCGATCGGCTGCTGCTATAGCACAAAATGGAAGTGTTGAGATTGAGTATCGTAAGTTATTAGATCATAACTACCTGTCGTCTCTGTAGTGATCCTGAGCTTGACGCTCGCGTTCACGACTTCGTGACCGCTCCCGATAGCTGTTTGAGAATGCACGAGTGTAAGAATATAAGTGAAGAATATAAATTACTACATTCAAACTTACCCTCCATCACGCTCACGCTCGCGATCACGATCACGCTCTCGTTCACGGGAACGCTCCCTATAGCGCGAAGTCGATCGCTCACGACGTTGACGACTGCGATGGGACCGATCGCGTGAACGCGAACGTTCGCGTCGATTGTAACTCTTGGCCTCAATACCGTGCAGTGTGTCCTGCAGTGAGCTGATCAAAATCTTACAACGCTCATCGTGAGCCACCTTAGATTGCTTGATGAGGGAAATAGCGGTAACCAATGTTTCGATGGCGCTTGAATACTCGCCAGCGGCAGCATCAGAAACAGCTCTGTGGTAATACAAATTATTTAATTATAAAAGTTACCTTTTTCATTTTTTGTGAGCTTACCTGGCAATCGCCGAGCTGCTGACCGTGCGGTTTCTGCTCATCACCTCTTCGAATTCTACCTCTGTTAATTGCGGCCCCATTTGCGGATCGGGGAAAGCGCCTGGAGGTTTGCCTTGCGGAGGTCCTGGCCACGGATTGCGCGGTCCACCCTGTTGTGCAAAATGAGGTGGTGGTCCGTGCTGAGGAGGCATGTTCATGCCTGGCTGTGGCCCTGGTTGACCATGTGGGGGGCCACCCATACCTGGATGCGGTGGCGGACCTCCTGGTTGGTTAAAGAATGCTGGATTGACATGCGGAGCGGGAGCGCCATGTGGTCCACCCGAACCAGGCGGTGGACCAGGACCCATTTGCGGGCGTGGCGGGCCCTGCATATGCGGTGGACCCTGTGGCGGCCCTTGCGGCGGGAAGCCACCATGCATGGGAGGACGACGCCAATCAGGACCCGGCCCAGGACCACGAACTGGCATGCCCATTGGCCCCTGGAACTGCAAAAATAAGGCATAAAATACAAAATTAATAACAACACTTAACATGGTATTGAAGGGTTTAGACATTAAATTAGGCCAGTTGCAGTTGTGTGGTAGTAGCCTCGTCATGGATGTGCATGAAATTTGTGTCTGTGGATGTGTTGGATGTATTGTGGCTGTTGCAGTTACAAACATGTGCAGTTATTTAAATGTTCTGAATACAATTGATGAGACACTCTAATGTCGTTCACTAAGTTAACTTAACTTGGGTTAGTTTGGTTTCGTTTCTCTACTATATTATAATTAAATCTTTATAAAATAATAATATAATATATAGGATATCTTTGATATTGTTTTTGCATTTTTTGTTAGGATTTTTTACCATTGGTGGTCGTTGGAGCGGTCCATTTGGTGGACCCGGTCGGGGTCCACCGGGACGTTGACCTGGCCATTGACCTTGCGCTGGCGGATACCTGGGAGGTGGCTGTTGATTGCCCATTGGGCCGCCTTGTGGATGCATTGGCGGCTAATAATTTACGTAAGTTTTTTTTTTATTATTGTAGATGTAGTTGTTGTTGTTGTAGTGGTGGGTAGAAGTGTGCGTAAGCGTTGTCATAAAACACATGGAATGGAATATAAATATAAAGCGTAATACATAAACATTTTTATATAATTATAATTAATATAGATAATACATAGATATTAAGTACATAGAGATCGCAAAACAAATGCAGCACATTTACAAAGTCATAAATATTGCCTTATTATAGCTACCATTAGATTTATTCAAACAAGTTTGAAGTCTCAACAGTTTGCAATTAAAGTTTGCAGTAAATTACATTAAAAAAAAACAAATGGTAATAAATAGGCTTATGCGTAAAGGATACAGATATATAAATAGAAATTCTATAAAATTGCTCTGAAATTATTTTTTATTTAAACCAAAACATGTATCGTACTTAAAATCATAATAATGAACAATAATAACCTTATAGTCGAATCTTTGCATGTCTAGTTACTCTTAAGATATCAAGTACAAACAAAATTAAAAAATTTTTTCTAAGTGACAAAAAAAATTTGCTTTTTAATGCTATTATAGGATTGTCTTTTCTTTTCTTTTTTTTTTTTGTTTACAAATTTTTTTAAATACAGTTCTATAAATATCTAATACATAGGTCCTGCTAGGGAGTATCAGTTATATTACTTGTGTGTACCAGAACTTAAAGAACATGTCATGAATATAATGATGTCTTTCCAATTCCACTTATCTATGTTATATTAATTTGACCAATCATTGATCAGCTAAATATACGACCAAATATTCGACTTTTAAGATATCAAATTTTGCATTCAGAACAATTTCAATGAGTTAAAGTTAAAAAGAAATGTAAATGGCGTTGTTAATACGGGCTGACGAGCCAAACAATTCCAAACAAATTCAAGAACTCTTTTGTTATGGTCACTTGCTAACGGGCAATTGAAAAAGCTACGACTTACGGGCAAAAGAAAGCAAAATTAAAGGAACAACAAAAAGGTGCAAAAGCTCACCTGCATTCTTGGAGGTCCAGAGTTTGGTCCAACCTGCGGCACTTGCGACATATGTGGCCGGTATTGACCTGGTGGTAGGTTGGGATTCATGCGTGGCGCATGTCCAGGAGGCACACCTTGGGGCACGCCCGGATGCGGAGGCATCGGTCCGCCCATGTTGGGTGGTGCAGGTCCACGGGGTGGTCCATTTTGCTGCGGTGGCGGTACTGGACGTGTTTTTTGCAGGCTCTCAAACTGGGTAAGTGCTTGCTTGCTTGGATAGGTGACTACCACGGTCTGGCCGTGCATCTCCTTTTTGGGTAACTGATCGAGTACAGTGCGTAAACTAGGTTCGGAACCAAGCGATATTACGCTAAAGCCCTTCGATTGACCATTTGCACGATTCTCAAAGAATTTCACCTCCTGTAGATCGTTAACGCCAATTTCACGTAAGGCATTCGATATATCTTGATCTGTGGTCCACCAGGTCAGATTACCAACATAGAGCTGATAGCGGCGATTCATTGTTGGAGTTTGGTTACCACTGCCCTGATGGTAAACTCCATTGGGACCGACATTAGAGGAACCGTCGATGGATCCAGGCCCGGATACATTATCTCCAGTTGGAGTGCCACCACCGCCGCCGCCGCCCGCAGCTACTGGCTCGGTGGGGCCACCGATGTCATCGTACAAATCGACGCCATCGCCACCAAATTCATCCTTTTCGTAAAAAAAGAGTATGTTGAATATTTCGATACATGCACGGACAAACAAATATATCGATATTTGTAAAAATATCAACAATGTTATTTAATATACCCCCATTACACATACAAGTATACGATTGCATACAAATGCGCGCATGCAAGTATACATATATCTGCACATATAAAGCATGGTAATGCTGACTTACCTGAGCTTGTCCGGCAAAATCTTTGTCCAAATCTTCGGCATATAAGTCCAGAACCACACCGTCGGCCATGGTTGCACGAGCGTTTACTGGACAAAAAAATTGATTTTAAACGCACGCGACCAACTTATTTAGCGGTGCCGTGCACACTTTTTCCACCACACACACACGCTCACAATCACAAGCCGCCCGTACAGTCGAACAACTAGCCACCGGCGTGCGGCGTACGTATAAATGCAAGTAAAGCCCGTAGTTGACGAATAACTATTTATATAGCTGTTACGAATATACGATATTCACATATATAATATATTTACATTATAAACAACAGCTTTTTCAACTATTGTTGCGAAAAATTTTCTGCAGCTACAGCTAAAATGGCGGAGATGTTCAGAGTGACCGTGTCTGTTAAATGCCACAAATGTTAAAAACGCCATATTTAGCACTAGTGTATTCAATACTAATCTCGTATGCCATTTAGTATTAAAAAAGTTATTGTAAAAAAACGCGGTACTTTTCGAAATGTGAGTTTTCGTTATTAACGATTCTGATTTATTGTTATAAATAAATACTTGGCAGTTAGTAACTTAATAATTCTTTTATGGATTGTAAGCTTTCTTAGGCCTCAGGTCGCAATATGTGATGCCAGGACCAATGCATGAAGCGAAACCCATTAGATGGGGTATTGCGTTCTGTTCGTAAACGCCGCTAAACAGATGAGACCAGGGACCTAAAACAGAATTATATAAGACATAATTAAATGTATAGTTTTGCTTATCATAGTTGTTATTATTTTTATTATTACCATTAGCATAAACTGCAACATCACCACCTCCGTGAGTTTCCTCGGAATAAGGCACGGCATGTGGATACCTTGCGTCCTTATCACCAATATTTAGAGTGCGGAGATCAACGCGTTTAACTGTGCTATTTTCCGATTTATAAAAGAGATTCATTTGTGGGCCGTTGGCGTAGGATAAAGTGGCGTAAGGTAATTTGTCGACGTCACTTAATTCCGAATTAAGACCAGTTATCACGTTGTTTATATCGGGATATCCGTTAATGGTCATAGTATGTCCATGATCTGCGGTGACTACGATTAAAGTTTCCCAAGGATTGGTTAACTGTCTTGCTTTCTTGACAGCGTTTGAGAATTGCACAGTTTCGTCCATGGCTTTCTTGGCTTTGGTCTCGTGGTGGGCATGATCGATGCGACCGCCTTCGACAAACAGAAAGTATCCAGCTGGATTCCCAGACAAAATTTTAATTGCAGTTTCCGTCATTTCCTCGAGCGTCGGACTATCAATGCTATGGTCCAGGTTATATGACATATGAGATGCATTGAATAAGCCTAATAAGTAGTCCGTATTGTAAGGATTGATGCTCAGCAAATCCGTGCGATTGAACACAACTCGCGCATTGCCTGATTTGCTTTGTTGCCATTCATTTATCAGATTGCGTCCATCTAAACGCTCGCCCACGTTGCCGTACAAATCCTTTTCTGTATTGGGCAGAAATTTCTTAGTGCCTCCGCCCAGGACGACTTTCAAGCCTTGACCCACTTCGTTCAATAGTTGCTGCGCTATGTCTGGACAGTTATTGGGATCGTGTCCAAGATCCTTAACATCAAAATCACTTTCAAAGTCACGATTCGAGGTGTGGGCATAAACTCCAGCTGGACTGGCGTGGGTGACACGAGTTGTCGTTACCAATCCCGCAGATTTACGCCCACGCATCGCCCAAGCCGCAATTGAGGAGAGATGATTCTTGGGTAACTTGGCTGCTCCACAGTCATTGAACTTTACATCTGCTGAAACACCGATTGTCATATAATTAGCCTTTATGCCGGACAGGTATGCAGAGGCAGTGGCGGCCGAATCAGAAACTTGTTTGTCTACGCAGTAAGTCTTAAGGAAATATAGATCAAAATTATCCATTGATTACTTACTATTCCAAGACTTAACTTACCTTTGACAATCCAACGTAGTTAAATTGTTCAAACTCCAAACGATTTCGTTCCCCTACAATGCCTTTCGATTGGCCATCATAAATGCGGGCGGCTGTTACAGTGGGCACAGACATTCCATCGCCAAGGAAGAAGATTATGTTCTTGGCCAAATACTGATTCGGTAGAGTGGAGATCTTTTCATAGAGCGTACGTTGAGCATCGTGGAACCAAAATTCTTTGCTCTTGAGATCATTTGTAGAGCGTATATTCCAGGCGGGATCTGCTAAGAGCAATAAAACACGCATTTTAGTGAAAGTTCTTGATTATTTTTTTTGTATTTTTAAAAATGATCAAAATTCAGAATTCTTTCACATTTGCACATTCAGTTCGATTAACACTCGATTAGGCAAATTAAATGTATTTAGTTTGTTTTGTGTTCGCATTCTGTTTACGATCTTTCACACTCTCACTGTTTATACTTTAAATATGTGTGGCACACCGTTAAATGTCACGCACCTGGCCCATAAATGTACTGACAATAGCACAAAGCAACTTGAATGGAGAGCGTTAACCAGAAAGCACGCATTGTCGAATTTTGATGAACTTCTCTTAATGAAAAACTTTCGATTGCGGACTTCTGTTTCGGCTTCGGCTTCGAATATTGTGCCTCGTACTCCGGCGTTGGTTGAGAACTGATTAAGCTGTGTGGAAGGAAATACGTGCTTATTTATATCAGTTTAGAGTGTAACGAATTGAGTGGCGAAGATCAACGGTATACTAAAATAAAAAAAAACTCGATCTGACTTTATAGATAACCGGTCCCTCAGGTAACCCAACTGCAGCAGGGCTTTCAAATACTTGGAGACTAGACAGTGTGTGTTGAATATGCATTCGATTTATTCAGATGCGATTTTTAGATCGAGCTGCGTTTCTAAATCATTACATGCAACTGCACCGGTTCTACAGCTTGTTATCTATAGCAGTTTTTGGAGTTAATAATATATATTTAAATTTTCTAAAAGATTTTCAACTGAATTTGTTATCGCTTAGCTGTGCCTGAGTAGAAAGCTTATATTAATACATGAAAGTTATTTCAGGTAAACAGGTTTGCTAATAATTAGCATTGAATTAATGATGCTAAGATTTTTGCAGTATTTATTTTGATTTTGGGCAATAATATTTTATTGAATCCTGTTTTGGCGCAGATTAATTTTAACATTATATATATGTAACATTTGGAATTTCACTAATTGTCGCTAGAATTCGGGAGCAAGGAACTTAAATTCCAGTTTTAATCAACGTACTTAATATGTTTTATTATACTGACAAGAGCCGCTGTTAAATAAATATGCATTATTTATAAGATGATATTGCCGAAAATGTGGCGGTTTAACTTATTAAGATTTGCCCTATTGATTAAAAGATTAATTATGATATTGAGGAATTGATTAATAATATTTCTTACCTTTCTCCTTTTGAAATTAGTTTTTTATGTAATTTTTTTATGTAACTTAACTAGTGCCGCGCAATTCAATTGTAAGAGCCATAAATCCTTTTAACTCCTTTTTGAATTTGAATTGAATGTTTTCTATTTTACATTGTCTAACACCAAATCATGTCGAAAGTCTAAATATCGATAGTACCTTATCATCTCTGCATATTTAGTATACGGTCACACTAATCACTATCATTACGATTGTTTAAAATAATCGATAAGACTCGTGCATTAAATTATTTCTCCATCTCTATAAACTTACATATTTCTTGCAAAATTTATTCGTTTATGTTAAAAAATTCCTGTGTGTGTCAATTAATTTTTTTTTAATGGACATGCGCTAGATTACGCTTTGATAACAAGGGTTCCTGGATAGGTTGACAAGGGCAAACAAGGTGAGAGATGTGATGACATATCAGCAAAAAATAAAACAAAGACTACTCAGGCCCCCTTCGACGAGCAAAAACACAAAACAATACTCATACAATCACACACAAGCTCTCATACAGGTGTATTTCTCTGAAACGCATATAATGATATAAGTAGAAAATTAGAGTGCTGCACAATTTATCTAATTGGGAACAATTTATTGGAAATTTTCAGGAAAGCAACAGTAACAACTGGTTTCTGCCACATTGAAAAAAATATTGGCAAGGTGTCTGCATACGAAAGCATGGATTTACAGCATATGGAGAATGGCCTCAGCGGAGGAGGCGGCGTGGCAGGAGGAGGAAGTAGTGGAGGAGCAGGAGGTGTGGGTGGTGGCCTAAGTGAGTTTGATTTTCAGCGATTGGCACAAATAATCGCGACAAGCATACAAAAAGTCCAACAAAATGGTGAGTCTAGTTTGGGGCGTATATTTTTCATCTATGACTAATCGCCTTGCTATGCATATTCACACGACACAGTCTCCACTATGCAGCGAATGGTCAACCAGTTGAATACTCCACAGGATTCACCTGAATTGAAGAAGAAGCTGTAAGTGTGTGTTGAGCGTGTTGCCTAAGCTATCAAATTGCCAAGCTATACGTATATTTGACATAACTAAATGAAATATGTTTTCTATACCTAGTCATCAGTTAATGACCTATACCAAGCAGCTGGTGACCGATACAAACAATCAGTTGAAGGAGGTGGACAAGTGCAAAGAGCGGCACCTAAAGATTCAGCGCGACCGTCTGGTAGATGAGTTCACAGCGGCTTTGACCGCCTTCCAGGTTAACTAATCTCTTTTACGATAAGCGAAGTAAGAAGTTAGTCATCACATTTGCTTTGTAGGCTATTCAACGTAAAACGGCTGATATTGAAAGGAGCGCTTTGCATCAGGCGCGTGCCCAGAACTTCAGTATTTCACATCCACCTGGCTCGACGCGAACCAGCACCAATGCCAGTAGCAATGACAATGGCTCCTTCTTTGAGGACAACTTCTTCAATCGTAAATCAAATCAACAGCAGCAGCAGCAAATACAAACGCAAATGCAGGAAGATGTTGACCTGCAAGCCCTGGAGGAACAGGAGCGTGCTATACGCGAACTGGAGAACAACATAGTGGGGGTCAATGAAATCTACAAGAATCTGGGTGCTATGGTCTACGAGCAGGGGTTAACTGTCGATTCGATTGAGTCTCAGGTGGAGCAAACAAGCATTTTTGTCTCGCAAGGCACTGAAAATTTGCGCAAGGCCAGTTCTTACAGGGTAAATGCTGACTATGTCTTTTATACATTTAATCTTAATGGTTATTATTTATTGTAGAACAAAGTGCGAAAGAAGAAGCTAATACTGGCTGCCATCCTGACCGCTGTTCTTTTAGCCATCGTTTTAATAATGGTGTTTCAGTTTAAGAACTAAACATGGGAATCCAATATACTAAAAACATCAAAAAAAAAATTTTAATAAAAACTAGTAAATTGTTGTGCAAAGAAAAGTGTTGCCCCATGCAGGCCTCTATCCGTATTTTAGACACATGTGTGGCTTTAATACTATAATTTCATTTAAACCAAAAAAAACACTAATTGGCTAAAAAGTTCTTAAAAAATTGTCAACTCAGTTGCATGAATCGAAACGTGTTTAGCACAGAGTTAAGCAGCGCTTAGGCATATACACACACATCCATATGTTATATAAATATACTTATTCTCTAACAAGTTATCTAATATTTTATATAAATATGTATTATGTTTATAAATAATGCACTTTGTATTGTATTATATTGATTGAGTGGCGCATTCTCAAATTTGTTTAGCAGCAAATTCTAAAACATTTCCAAATTCATTTGCTAGCGCTTTGTATTTAAGTTTAAGTGACATACAAAGTATATAAATATACGATGGTACATGATAATACACATTAAAATATAAAATTAACGAAAAGAAAATATTATATGTAAGATCAATGCAGGGCAAAATCCTTTAACAAAGCATTTCGAGTACTTCATTTCGGGGCATTGCATGAAATGAATGAATCGATGAATGGGCTGGAGTTCAGCACCATTTGGGCATTCAAAATGTGCTCGATCATGGCTCTGGTCGCGTCATCAACGCCTCGCGCATAGCCATAACGATCATTAAGATTTGTTGTGCACTGATGATACGCATGCTTCAGCGGCTTAGCCCCTGGCTGAAGTACTGCCTGTGCTTACTGGGCTGCCCAACTGGGTGTTCATCACATCACATTAATGCAACGGCAGACGGTATCGATCTCATGTGTGTGTGTCTGTGTGTAAGTGTGGATGCCACTTGAGCCGCAGCCGTTGCTGAGGTGTGTCAAGTAAAGGGTTTCCTCGGGTTCGGGTTCGGGCTTGGGCTTGGGCTCGGGCTCGGACTCGGCCTGCATACAAATTGAGTTTAAATTTTTTGCCAATTCACTGACATTGATAGTTCGTTTGGGCATCGTTTGTGTCGTGGTGGTGGCTTCTTATCCACTTGTTGGCATCGAGTGGTTTTCTCGCATGCATTTAAGTGCAGCTCATTTCCTTCTCTATCGCCCTGGGGCAGCCAAATATTGTGCGCTGTCATCCAGCTATTTTTAATACTAAGACATATCTGTGCCCTAACTTTGAGTGTGCCACATTAACTATGTCATATTGTTGGCTAACTAAACTTATTGTTACTATCTAAATCTGAAATTATCAATGACATGTTACGAAGCGTGGGTTCAGAAGGTACATATGTTTCTGAAAAATGCATTCCATTTACAGCTAGAAGCCAGCTGTTACTCATACTCTGCTATATTGAAGGGGTACCTTATGATAGGGTATCAGAGATGCGGCTTGTTAGCAATCATTTGTATTTTTTCTTGTTTCTTGTGGGCCTTCTTGGCTGTCAGTGGCTGTCTAAATACGTCACCATGGTTTTTTTTGGAATTAAATTATTGATTGGTCGACTGAGGTTTTCAGTTTACGACACGGCCTAATCACATCGATTATCGGTGCATGTACATGGCACTTGGCATCGGCTGGCCATGGACGCATCCATTCATAAGTGAAAATCCAGTGCCGAGGCCACAGGTCACGTTGCGGCTGATTCGAGTGCGTAGGTGTTGGACATTAACAGAACTATGCACACCTCGCACAGCAGGTAGCCCCGATAGCCCGCGCCGTGTGCGAGCTCTGTGTTTGCATAGGCCGGGCCCATGATAATATTGACACATTCGGTGGTCAGCACAGAATCTCATTTGCGAAGTCATTTTGTACAAATAAATCCAGCCTCTGCATCGCATCCTCTGCTCTTCCTTTTCTTCCCAACTTAATGCGCGGACACACAAACCGCATGTTTTGACTTTGCCACCGAGGAGCAGTGGAAATGCACATGGAAATTCCGCAGCTCTTTTTTTTTTTTTGCTAAGCGCGGATTGACTTACCAACTTAGCAACTTGCTGGACGGGATTGGGGTATTGGTAAACGATAGGCTGCCTGCAGTTTAATCCCTGCACATTTCACACGTTGCTTACGATTCGCCTTAGCCATAGCCAGGCAGTAGCCGAGACGTAAACATCCGGCTGTGGCATTTCCCAAATCAATAAACTTATTACGAGTACTTACACACCTTATATACGTACATATATAGATATATATATATATCTGTATATCTTACAATTCATATCCCCTTTTTGGTTTTTATACGGAAAAATCTTAATTAAGCATTTGCTTGCCCACATTTTTATGAATGAAATGACGAGCTGCTCTCTGTTCCGGCCCCGCCCCCTGTCCCTAATTTTCTTTAGCAACTCCCGCCCGCCCGCTGCTACTATTACCGCAATTTAAGTGGAATTACTTGTGGCCTGTAAATCTTTTGAATTTTTATTAAAAACAAAAACGCCAAATGGAAATTCGTTTGATTGTGCTACCTGGGCGCGTGTGTCTGTGTGTGTCTGTGGGAGTGGACTCTTACGGCGAAGATCGGGGGCTGGGATCGCTGCTGCACACTTTACGCCCAACACTTTCGACATTTTTATTAATGAAATTCGCAGAAAAGGTGGCCCACTGACGAACCGAATGAAGTACTCTCACCTAGCCACGTCCCATGTTCATGAACCACGACTGAGCGCACGATCTCTCAGGCCCCATTCGCAGCTACATTTTTATATATTGGAACTGGTAGGGCGTACACTTCTAAACAAATTGGGTGTCAAAAAGTGCGCACATTTCAAAAGATTTAACCGTTTTGCAGTTTGCTTTGATCTATGCCGACGACGCAGACGCCGTCGAAGCGTTTATGTGCCTGCTACAGTGGAGCCTGTCTAGCTACTCGACTGTGTACAGTGGATGAATACCTAGAATGGCTCCACTGAGAGATGTACTTACAATCTCTCTAGTATTTACAGTTGTGACTTTTGATTACAGTTAATTTAGATTTAATGTTAAGGGCACTTATTAGCTTATATTTATATATTCCTTAGCTGATTACTTGTCGACTAAGAATAAATTAATAATAATAAAAGACACACAAAAATCTGAAACTTGTTTCTTGGGTCTCAATATGTGCTGTTAGTCAAGCACCACTGTGCCACATATTGGAATCGTTTGTGCTATTCTCAATATAAACACGTAGTATATCTTTTATCTGATTTGGTTTTAATACCACGCGCCGCCTGCGAAAAAAGCGTCAACGCTGCAAAAATGCGCGGCGAAG